GAAATGCAGTGACTCTTAAACCTCCTGTCCATGTTCAGGACTATGCTGTATATGGTCCCAGATTGGCCAAAGGTATACCATGGTTGTGCTTATAGTTGTGCAAGAAAGAACATTTAAAAATCTATTTAACAGTGTTGCCGCTCATGGCTGAATGCTTGGCTTTCACTAGCTTTACCAGCATTATATCTGTGTGATCGTGTGAATGGAGAATTGCTTGCATGGACTTGATGTCAGGCTTTGCAGTCAATGCGATCATTTTCAGGTGTGCTCCAGGAGCCTTTTGAATGTTGGAAACTATCACTTTTACATTTTATTTTCCCATTTTAGACTGATTCAGTTTACCAAGCTTTTCTCAGTGTCATCCAAAGTTAATTTTATTTCTAAATCTTGTTTTAAAGTTATCTGCAGGATGTTTCAGCTGGTCTTACTTGTTGTCTTCTTCTTGTCCATTTATGTTTCCATTTACAAAAGTGTACTCACTGGTTAATGAAGCCAGCTGTCCATATGGTTCTTACTTCTGTGATTGAGAGGAAAGGCACGAGTTTTCAAAAGGTCTGTCCGTTCACATTGAAGGTCTTTTGTATAAAGTGAAGGTGTAGAGTTCTACAAATCAATCCAGTCAAATAAACATGCATTCCTGATGTGACCTATGTTAATATGCATAGATCCAAAGTAAATATTTGTTTACTTTTTGTTTCCTGTCTAAGGGTTAGGTCTGTTATTTCTTTTGTTGGAATTATTTCTCACATGTGACTGTGATCTGTAGGCAGCAGAAATGCCCTGGCTTTGTTACACAGCAGTAATAGATATTCTGTGATTTTTGCAGGCCTTCTTACGAAAGGCTTCCTAAAAGTGTACCTCACTGTTCCTTGTTTTCTGAATAAAGTCTCTCGAAAATAAATCGACTTAAAGGTAATGCTTAGTATGCTTCTAAATTCTTTGTGGCTCGTAAGTTTACACAGCAGTTTTGAGAGAAAAAAAACTATTAATTTGCTATTTCCCCTAGACATAACTGACATACAAATATAAATATTAATCAAACAACACATTAAGTCACACGTATGATACCAATTCACATTAAAATTTCTCCAAATTGCTTTTGGAAGAATTTAAGTAAATGACAGAATACAAAGGTAGCAAGGCTACCAAGAAGGGTTAGGTTTCCTGAAAGCATCTTAGCACAAAGATGAGATGGTAGAGTGTGCATCATACTGAACACTCTTAAGATGGTTTTCACACTAAGACGCTTTTGGTAAACTTGGCTCAGTATAATATATAGCCTATAAAGCAGTTAATTTGTATGGCTTCCTGTCATGTCACATTACGCAACGTGAGTAAATACATCATTTGTACCGAAGCCCCTCGGATGAGTAGTGAGTTGTCTTGAAGGTCACACCTCAAATGGGCCATATGATGGAAAAAACTTTTAAAACATACCATTTCCTACACTGTCCATATATGGAAATTAAGTCGGTTTGAGTATTGTAGGAAACTGGAAATTTTCACACTTGGAAGTTGCACTTAAACAGATGACCAAGTCACATTTCCAAGTGGGGAAACTCAAGTGGGGAATCTGGATGATTCACATGGTGCATTATCAAGCTGGAAGTAGCCATAAGAAGATGGGTAAATTGTGTTCATGAATGGATGCACAAGGTCAGCGATGATACTCAAATAGTCTTAAAGCAATGATTGACTGGTATTAATGGGCCCAAAGTGCTCCCCCTGTGCTCACTGCAGGCTCAGAAGTGGAACCTGACGTGGTCTTCTGCTGTTGTAGCCCATCTGTCTCAAGGTCCATCATGTTGTGCATTCTGAGATGCTCTTCTGGCCCTTATAATTGCACCGAGTGGTTGTCTGAGTTAGCCTTTCTGTCAGCCTGAACCAGTCTGTCTATTCTCCGCTGACCTCTTTCATCGACAAGGCGTTTTTGTTAGCAGAAGTGCTGCTCAGCACATGCTTTTCAGGTAATTAGCAGTTATAGAAATGCTCAACCCAACCCATCTGGCACCAACAATTAACCCCACATGTGTTGAACATTACCTGAAGCTGCTGTCCCGTGTCCCATGATTTTATGCACTGCACTGCTGCCACACGTTTGGCTGATTAGATGACTGCATGCAGGGGCGTCATTAGAGGTTGTTGGATGGGGGGGGGGTTAGGCCTGTAGCAGCAACAGTCAGAAAAGGTACATCAGCTGTGATAAGTATAGCAAAAAAATATTATTTGGTCAAACTGGCACACAGTAGATCTGTCTCTTCTTAGTTTGTATTAAGCACAGAGATAGTATAACAAACACTATATCCACCCATTTACAACAGGCACAGATCAAGCAAAGGTACTGTCTCCTGTCTCTTAGATAAGCTGCAAGGTCCTAAATATATTATCCAAAAACACAGATTATAGATCAGTTCATTCTCAGTTGATGCAATCAGAAAAGTGGTATTTTGCTGTGTATGCATGTTTAATAAGCTAGGTGACAGAATTTCATCAGAATTTCAACATTATATTTTCTCACTTAAATTTAATTCATTATTAATTTTAACCGAAAGCTTATACAACTCTTCCTCACTTTGTTCTTGATCACTAACCTCCATCAGATCTGCTCCTTCAGTCCTGTCGGTCTCCTTCAGCATAGTAACAAAACAACCTTTTTTAATTCTCTGGGATACAGAGAAGTTGGACATTTAGGACTGAACGACACAAATGTCGTGAGTGAACCTCAGAGAAAAATACAATACCAGAAAACTTAAAATGAATACAAGAAAAATGCAGGCTCTGTGCGCTTTACCTCGGCCCTCTCCAACTGGACATCATGAGCGGCGCATTAACACTCCCGCTGTGCTCCTCCAGAGGGAGCCACCGCCACACAGGCGGGGAAGACAAACCGGAACTAATATTTACCAGGACCTTTGAGCCGTTACAGAAGTGTCCTTGTGCCGCTAGAGTGACTGTAGTTTCAGCTCTCAATCATGTTCAGGCACATCGTGGTGAGTGTGGTTTATGTGTTGTGTGATTCAGTTTCCTCACTCAGTCTGGGTGGAGGTTGGAGATTTTTACAGATCTGAGTTTAAACACCTGCTACAGGTTTCCAGTGGCGTGACCTCCACTTAGTTCCTGAACCTCAGCTAGACGGCTAACGCTAGCTGAGCTCTAACCTGGACTGACTGAGAACAACCATATCAAACACCTGACTTTACTGCGTTTTACTCACTCGCTCCAATAAAACAGCGGTATCTCACAATATTAGTGCAAAACCGTTATTAGCTTGGTTTAAAGTGAACTGTAGGTTAACTACCGTAACAGCTTTGTAGCTTAGCTAGCTTATTTCTTACCTAGACAGGTTTCACTTGCTGGCTAAGTTAACTGTTTGCGAACTGTCGTGTGTGTAGTAAACATTAAAGACTAATTAGTTAACTAGCAGGCAGAACTTTTATCGGCTTGTCGTTCTTCCTGATAAGTTATCCCACACAGTGGCATTAAGAGAGTGACTGCGGTTGATATACTTAGCATGTTTAGCTAGCATGACTAAATGGGCAGAAACAGTGTTAATTAACTGAAACAGACAAATATAAATAAAAAAGAGAAGGTAATGTAGATATATAACCCTTTTATTCACCAGGGTTTATTTTGGTTTTTCCATCTGAATTTACATGACCAAATCCTAAGGCAAATTATTCAGTAACTGCATGAAATAAATGTAAATTTTATTTATTTATTTATTTATTTATTGTAAAAGCTTCCCTCAAATTAACAGAAAATGTGTTTTATGATCATACACATATTGCTATATGCAATTTACTGCTGAAAGCCAAAAATCTTAGACGCTCTTTGTATTTTTTTATAAAAATAATTTTTACAGAGCAGATCACTGAAGAGACACCGTCTGTTTATAGATTATAGCCCAGATTTGTGGAAAAATGGGTCAACTTTCAAAAAAGGTAGACGAAAAAGGTTCAGAATTCAGCTTCTTTTATTATAAGGGTTTAAAATCACATTACCCATCTATTTGACCGGAAAGAAGGAAGTTACAGTTCCCATATGACACCCACCTTTTGAATGTAGCTTATGAAATATAAAAGCTATGAAGAATATGACGAAGTGCGTTTTGGAACCACTGGCGGTCTCAAGGAGTTGAAAAGTTCAAATTAAACACATTACTTATTCAACAATGTCAAAATTAGAGCATGGGTGGAAGATAGAAGATCGATTTCAAATAATGCTACACATCATTGACTAGCTTTTTAACCTAAATGACAAAATAAGAGTCTACTGTTTTGCGCCTTACACTTGCGTATATAGAATTTTGCCATAAAATAATTACATTGCATAAAAATATTCCATATTTCCCTAGCTTGTAAAAAAATTCTACATTAAGTTTAATTTCATCATGAATAAAGTGCATAAAGGCTCAGATATTTTGTCATAGGTCACAACCACAAAAAAAGAGAAAAAAAGTTGTTTTGCATATGTCTCACCAATCTTCTATCCATGTTATGCTTATCAGGGTCTGAGGCAGGTGTGCAGTCGAACATTCTCCAGTAGTGTTCGCAGGCAGGTTGAAAACAAAGTCCCAGCCAAGCAGAAGTTGTTTCAGGTGAGTGCTTGAGGCTGCTCATCCATTGACTTTCTGTGAAGCTTGCACTCTGTCAGTTAATCAGTTGATCCTGTGCTGTTATACACCATGACAGCAATATGTGGTCATTTCTGGAATGCTGGTGGGACCAGATGTGATCTAAGATTGGACCACCTAGCTTCTTAATTTTAGTATGTTTAACATAATTTAGATATGGAAGTTTATCAGTAAAGCAGGTCATTGCTCAGCCCTTTTTCGCTCTCCTCTTGCATGAATCTGGTACGTTTAAAAAGAGCAAGATACTTTAGACATTGGAAGTGCTCTACGTGGTTCTTTGTTAATGTTCATGTTTATAGCTCCCATATGGGATCACCGTTGCTAATCAAGACTTGTTTATAAAAGTTTGGCCAGAAGCAGCACTGCAAGGAACAGCTCTGAGAGCTAAACAATGTATTCATCTGTTAATTTTTACAATACTGGCCGTTGCAGTATCGATATCCTCAGAAGGTCGCAATATGCAAATGAGGCCTTTTAACAACTAAACGTCTTATTGTGTAGTATGAGCATCTCAGACATTTCGGCTGAGCTTCTGTGACTGTTTGGTTGAATTGAGATGGGATCTAACAAGTATAATAATTCTTAAAATAACAAAGATTGATGTTTATTCATATTGCATCAAAGATTCACCAGTGGTTTTAATGTTTTACAAAGGCAGTTACAGTATGTAGCAATATAATCGCAATGATATCCTCAGTGTGCAGCTCTACTTTGAGTTTCTGACTGCCACCCTTATAAGACTGATTATCCTATTATTATTATTATTATTATTATTATTATTGTTATCTGAGAAAATCTTGGTTTGGGATGTTACCATGTGAATGTGCAAGAAAAATACAAGGTGTTTTTCTTTTAAAACATCTAGATGATTAAAGTTACTGTTAAAGTTCAGATTTCACTTTCTTTCCAGCACCTTGACTGACTTTGTGTTCTTCCTTTTCCTAGGAAATCAGATAAGTATAGTGCTGGAATTTGCTTGTAGGGGTTTCACTTGTAGAGTGGGCTGGGTTTACTAATTGCATGTGATGTGATGCTCTAAAAGAGGCAAATCAAACAATCAGCCAAAAGCTTCACTCACTGGTCTATGACTGCAGTAATGTTTTACATGCTGACACACTCTGCTTGTTTTGGGCCAGAGTTAAGAGAGACGGCTGTCATTTGTGTGTTTGCTTTGCAGAAGAAGAAGAATCAATGTATTTTATTAAACTTACTTGAAGTTACAGTGTAAAGTGATTCAGAATTTCAGATCTTGGTGGGCTCTATCACCAATAAACATGGATAAATAGAAAATTAGTAAACAGACATGTTCATTTTGTGATTATACCAGATTTTAAGATTAAGATCCATGTATCATTTCCTGTAATTACCATTTAAAGACCCTTCTTTGTATGCATGTGAACATGTGCACAGGGGGCAGTCTTCATTAAGTCTGATCTGTGATGCCCTGTGAGGTATGAGATAATAAACGTGCTTTGGTTTTCCAGGAGGACAATGGTATCCCTGTTCATTTGAAGGGAGGTGCCAAAGATGCTCTCTTGTACAGGGCAACAATGGCCCTTACAGTCTTTGGTGAGTTGCGCCTATTTGACAGTCATTAACGTTGTATTTAATCTATCACAGTTATGATCAGTTTATGTGCTGGAGAGATACTCTTCATAAATCCAATGTTCTGTTTAATAGTAGTGGGAATCTCAATTCTGTTCTGTTTCGATTCAGGGTTGTTTATATATATATATATATATATATATATATATATATATATACACACATATATATATATATATATATATATATATATATATATATATATATATATATATATATATATATAAAAAATATATATGCATCTTGATTTCTTGTCTAACTTACTTGGCTATTTTTTCCCTTATTTGTCCATATTCATAAGTACCGTGAATATGGACAAATAAACACTGTTAAAGTTTCAAAACATACCCATACAGTCCTTATATAGAAGGATTGTTTTTAGTTCAAAGATTTGTGATGTCATGAAAACCAACTCTCACATATATGCACCTCTTCAACTTAGCAGTTGAGCCTCCTATTCACGCTGAAGTTACAAGTAGTGTTTCAGCCTGGGCAGCAAATTGGAACAGAGCTGATTACATATACTTTTTGTTCTTTACTTCAGGTTGTATACCATATACCATGTAGAAGTGTTTTCATCAGATTTGTTTTGTACTTTTGGCATAGTTCAAATAAAAAAAATATATGCAGAATCCTATGTGAAAGTCTGATTTTGAGATTTTTTTTACATCAATGCTGAATCTTTCAAGAGAGAATCGTGATCCGTTTCCCACCCCTGTTTAGCTCACGGATGTATTTTGTTGGGATATTAGTATTTATGAAAGAAAAGATTTAAATGGGTCTGTTCCAAAACACATTATAGACCACTTTAAAGAAGTTTCTTTTTTTCATGATGTAATATCCGCTGTTTATTATGATTAGCACTTAATTTAATAGAGAAATTAAAATGTTTTCCATTATGATTCAGCTATTGTTCTTCCGAATTGTTACAAATGAATATGAAACTCAAATGTTCTTAGCAAGTTTTAGTCATTTTGTGTCATTCATTAAGAAACTTTTGTGATCATTCTTGTCCATTCTTGTCTCTACAGGAAGTGGATTTGTCTTATACGAGTTGTTTGAAGCAGCAATGCCCAAAAAGAAGGAATGAAGATGCTCCTTTCTCCATGTATCAGATTACCTTTATCCAGTTGTGAAAATTTGTCTTTTGTTTTTCTTTTTTTTTTGCATACATGGGATCAATATTTATTGATTGTTCTCTGGATCAATAATATGTAATAAACTGAACACTTTACATATTTGTGGTTTGATTTTTGGCATTGTGTATGTTGGTACAGATTATAATTTTGATGACCTTACATATTACATGTAAGGTCACCCCCCCCACCACACACACACACACACACACACACACACACACACACACACAAAAAAAAAACGGACAGTAAAGTTATTATGTAGTCTAACCTAGTCTAACCTAGCCCAAGTGAGGGCACGTGCACATACCCGAACTGTCCGCTGGGGGGCCTTAATCACTCGCAAATGTAATTTTCAGAGCCTTAGAAAAAACTTTTCTCTCCTTCATATTCGGGGTGGTCAACAGAAAGAAGTCGAAATGAGAAAGTTCAGTCAGGTTGAATTCGCTGGGTTTGATTTAATAAGAAGCCGACAAAATAGAGTCTTGGGAGTTTAATCGGCTAATCTAATCAAGCATTTTAGCAAACGGGAGACATCACGGGTCAAATCTAAGTACGTCTTTGAAATTAACCCAAGTGACCACTTCCAGTTCTGTCCAGCTGGCTCGACGCTCCGGGCTTCAGTAGTAACGCGTCACTGAAAACACTCAAAGTTGGGTGTGCCATTCTTGAAGACTTTCGTAAGGGTCTCCGGTTTAAAAGTACGTGGGGAACAGCCCCCTATTAAGTAGCAGGTTGTGCTCAGATACCTCCCCCTTCCACAGAGGCTTTCCCTTAAAGACATGACCAGCAGAGCAGCTTTCACTCTCTGAACCCTCCGCCTGCTCTGAGAGGGCTGGACCAGCCGAGAGCTGCCTGTTCATGCTTAATTCTCTCAACTGCACATCAACAGGTCAGACTGATTCTTTCTTTTCTTTAATTTTTCGATTTTTCTCTCATTCTCTCATTTTTCTCTCTTAAAAATAAATAAATAAAATAGTAATTTTGGAGTTTTTTTTTATGTTCGTCCAGCATTGTGTCAGCAATGTAAGAGGATTTACAGCCAAATTATGAATGTAGAAATGTGAGAGATCAGCTACAGCGACTGGATTAAATATATGCATTATTTATTTTTTTTAAGTGGGTGAATTTAAGTGTTACATTCGCAGTATTATAGCTTTATGAAGTGCTGAAATATTCCTTATCTTTTCGCCGTGCGAAACTCTCTTCAGACAAGACATCAATTCTGCAGATCGTTGTGTATCAGCGAGATTATTATTTTTTGCTTTATTTATTTTTTCATGTCGCTTTAGGTTAGTCTGGTGTTCTTAGACTTCTACGAATTTTAAGAATTCACTGTAAATTCCACACGATCCACAAGGAGGCGCTCTAGAGCTGCTGTAGAAGAGAGGGCTGCTGGGTTAGGAGAGCTGTATTTCAGTCAGAATTGTCACATCTGGTAATTAGATCATCCATTTTTTATGTAAGATGGTTTGTTTTGTCTTTTTATTGCAAATTCCTGTTGTCATTGTGCACAGCCACAGATCTAGACTGTGTAGCCTTAACGAATCAGAGGGAAAAGTTTTGAAGAACCCTTTTGTCTGTACGTTTTCTGAGCCGAATGAGGGTTTTGTCTTTCTAGATTAATTCATGTGCTGCTGACTCTCCATCTACAAAATGAAGATCAGGCTGTCAGTGGCCGCTGCGGCCCTCCTTGCTATATTACTGAACACAGTAGAGGCTCAAGGTACAGCTACCACATCACATCTCCCTCACGTTCTCTCCACTTTCCCCATCCTCTTTCTTTCTCTCTTTCCTTACCTCTCACTTTCTCCCTCTTATTGTGCCTTCTGATTTCCCTTGATGAAAAGGTTGAATCGTATGTGTTGCTGCTGTAATGAGAAATAACAAAATTTCATGTTCAGTGTTTGATTTTCATTAAATTCAGATTACATAAACCCCATAGACATATGGGGGCACAGTTATAGAACAAGGTATGTAAAATGTTCTATTTCTCTCTCTCTCTCTTTCTCTTTTTTCCCCTTCTTTTTGTCTTCCTGGATTCATTCAGATAAATGTTCATTTCATACAAGGTTAAAATGATAACAATGATTAAAAAAATATGTTGAGCAATTATGTAAAATTAAAGCGACAAAGGAGATTTTGAGAGATGAAAAAAGAGATTTTTTATTGTTTTAATTTATTTTGTAAGGGTAAGGCTGAGCATGTCACCAATAATTTTAAGAAATGCCTTAGAGATGAGGTCATCTTTTTGGGCTGGTAATTGTCTCCACTTACAAGTCAGTTCTTGTCTAATGAGTTAGTGGAACAATCGGGGCTGCTTCGGGCTGCCCAGAAGGACCTTTACTTCTCTAAAAGGCTCAGAAAGTTTTTACCCATTAACCTATGACTTAGGCCTACCTTGAAAGTGTATTTATATTATTATACAATATTATATATTCTTTAAAATATACATTTAAAGCAAATTTGAAGTTAATCTAAAGATTGCACTGAATAAACATAGACTGTTGTTTTTAAAATCAGGGGCTTTAAAAAGACAGATATCATGGCATTGCTCAAGATGGAACAGAATGACTAGAATGATTATGAAAATGCCTTCACTCTCAGCACCATCAGTTCCATTCAGTGAAAAAGATGACTGTGTTCCACCATATGATTGTGAGTTGTTTTATCTAAAGATGAATGTGTAATTCATGTTACCACATAGCATCATTTAAGTGTAATGATGATTATTTGAATGGAAAATTACACGATGCAATGAAAGAAAGAGTAAAATGGAGCTTGATTTATTTGGAACCTCAGAATGGAAATCTCCAATTCTATCCCTTGAAAGCCTTTTTATGCGGTCATCTACGTTTATCCCATGTATCTCAGCTAACAGAATGGAAAGAGGTAATAGGAGAGGGCCAAATTAGTCCTCAGACAGCACAAAGACAAAGAGCCTTTTTAGGTTCCTTTGCGGCCATTTTCAAAAATGCTGAGTTGCAAGCCATATGGAAAGTTAATATGCGGTAATGTTTAATGTCAGCACATGTTGTGGAATTACTTTGGCATCTGGTCGGCTTCTCCGGGAGTCTCCAGCCTCTTTTCCGAGCTGCCTGGCAACGATGCAAGCCAAAAAGAATGCCTGGCAGGGTGGAGACAGAAGTTATTCACACTGGCCAGACTCTCCTAGAGGAATGGAAGAGGTGTGCTCCTCATGGGACGTGCCTTACCTACCTGCGTACCTCCTAGATCCTAAAAACATCACTTGGATCCACCATTGTACCCTGACATCAATTAAAATGGAGTCCCTTTCTCACTAGTGTCATTATAGTAGTTTAGCTGCCCTAAAAGCGAGTTTTTAAGATGGCTTTTCTGCGCTGGTGCCTTGACACCCTCACTCAAGAGTACTCAGCTTGATTTCTGAGTGAGTGAAGACTCATGGTTTGGAGATGGGGCCTGTTCGGACACGAGGGGAATCTGCTCAGGCCTCTTGAGGTTGATGCGCCAGGTTGGTGAGCCACCTTTCCAGCCTCCATGATCCCAAGCTTGTTGCTCAGGTTGTGTTTTTTGTCATCTGCCTGTGCACTTGATGTTATGTGAGCTGTGGCTTTCCCCACCATGTATTTTAGAATGATATTCTGAGATTTTACCCACCTTTTAGCGACCTGCATGCTCCTATCCTGCTACCCCACACCATCCCTCCATTGACCTTTGCATGGAACTTAGTGTATCACCATCCTGGAGAAGCACCCATTATGTAACAGGAGAGGACGTGATGTCTGGAATTTTTGGCAATAGAACCTGAGAGCGAGTGCGTCATCATGAATAATATCACAGGTGTGATTTGGTACAGGCGCAAGCTGAAAGGGAGTGCCGTAGATCATCACAGCTGTGGTGTTAGTTGTGATAGTGCATGACCTGGAGTGTTCTATTGCTTTCATACAACAGTTCTGCAAATGAAAAAGAAATAAGTAAAGAAACCTAAACACTGCAAAAGATGATCTTCACAAGAGAAATCATCTCACATTGAGTTGATTTGTCTAAACTGTCTCATTTTGAGATTGTTGTAGGAATATAAGATTATTTAACTTATATCTAGATGTTTTATACTTGCTTTACGTAATTTTATCTAGTTTACTTGTGTTATTCTACTGGCAGATAATTTTGCTTTTTTTAAGCAATATTTCTTATGCACCTAATCTCTTAAAAACAAGCAAACTTATCTTCGTTATGTCTTAAAAACATGTAAAATTACAGGCCTATAAACTAAGGCAATTTCTCTAGGTAAAATTACTTAAGACAAGTAAACAAATCTATAAATAAGTTCAATAATCTTATAATATTCTTAAACAATCTTAAAATGAGAAATGTGAACTATATTGACTAGATTTAAGATGTTTTTGCTTGCCAAGATATAATTTTTTTGCAGTTATATGTTTCAACCATATATATAATATATATATATATATATATATATATATATATATATATATATATATATATATATATATATATAATGTATATATACATGTGGAATGTTTTTCAACCAATCATTTTTTGTGTGGTCGGAGCCAACTGTTGTATAATAGTCCTTCATTATGTATAGAATAAAGAATAGTTACTGCCATGTCAGTTAGGGGACCAGACTCTAACCCGCTAGTCCCACTGGCCCAGTGTATGTCACCGAAGCATGCTCTGTGACACTTACTAGCTCTTTCCTTATTTTTTAGACATTTTCTATTATCTTCTCCATAAACATTGTATAATAGAGCATCTTTTCCCTTCTCTTTCCTCACTCACACAGGATGCTATTCTGTCAAGACATGCATAAGCATGTCCAGCTTCCATACAGATGTTACCTTGGATGTAAGACCTGAGGTATACATCTGGTAGAATACTTTCCATTAGAAGCTGCTAGTTTAGCATCTGCATGTGAAGCTTCCCTGCAGAAGAATATCATTGTGAAATATACTATGGTCTGTATGTGTAGTCCCTCATGTACATGGAAACGTTTGTCCAGTTTACGAAGTTGTTCCTCAACAACTTTTTTTCATGTACATGTGCATGACTCTGTGAGATCCAGGCGTGGGAACAGTTTTCTCTCACGCCTCACCTTATGTGGTTGGTCGGTTGTGACTCTTATCCTTGCTATGATGTGCACTCTCCTCTGTACTCTCCATGTGAGCATTCACGCGTTGTCTCGTCACTTCGCACCATGTTCTGTGTCAATGAAAAGGAAGTACACATGAGTCTCCAATGACAAATTGTGTATTCTTTTTTATGAGGTTTGCAATGGATGATCTACTGGATTGATATACTGTATGCAAAAGTTTACTGAAATACTGAAATCTTCTCCAAATATGTGTATATATACATGCACTGTATATATAACATATGGTTTTGATATCTGACAGGGCCGCCTTGACATGATTAGGCATGATCATTTGGATTCCATTGTATAATCAGCAACTTGTGAATGAAAATATTACATTGTCAAGTAATTTGATTGGAATTTACCGGTGGCTGAATGGGCATGCCTTGGATTGACTGTATACAGCATGTATTGGATGGTCCAATTAATGTCTGCACTGGGGTTTGGCAGATGATGCTGTTCAGAATGGGTCTGAATGAAGTATGTTCAGTCTTCCTGCTTAAGCTGCTGGCCAAGGGTCTCTGGGCCAGGCAACTCAAGCAAAGGCCATTTTCCCCAAAAATGGCTTCCCTCACCTCTTCTTGTGTTGTTGTGTTGCTGTTTGTTACCAACACCCCAATGTCGGTTTCCTCGTCCTGCCCAACAATGAACGAGTCAACTTCAGCCTTGAAGTGTTTGTTGTTGGGATTGTTCCAATTGTCCTTTTCCTATGCATAATATACATTTATTTTACATTTTATACAGTGTTGCTTGATGTCTGCGCTAACATATTGCTGTTCTGTTTGCAGTGGAACCTCCCTCAGACTTGAAATTTAACATCCTAAATGAAAACACAGTGCAAATGTCATGGAGGAGGCCATCATCTCTGGTACATGGCTTCAGAATACAAGTAGTATCGGACACAGGTAAGTATTTGCTCCTGTGTCAGAGTAACTGGTCATGCAGACTGGTATGGCATTTTCTTATGGCACGACATCAAAACTTCTTTGTTTTCTCTACCAGATGATATAAAAGATATTATCCTACCTGCCTCGGCCACGAGCACAGATATCGGAAACCTCACTCCTGATGTAGATTACTCTGTGTCAATCAACTCCTATGTTGGTTCAGAAGAAAGCATTCCCATATTTGGCCAAATAACAAGTAAGTGTGTGATTCTGTGAATTATTGATGTCCAGTAAAAGTTTCTTTGTAGGCAGTTTGTTTAACTTGCTCAAAATAGTAAGGAAAAATGAATGTGACTGAAAAGATGGTGCATTCTGCTGACTGAGAGCTTAGTGTAAACTAACACATCACTGCAGAAGAACTGTGCGGTTTCTGCACTAAAAGCTCTTTTTCTTTTGCACTGCAGTTCAGTCCAGCAACACGACTGGGACACCGAGGCAACCACAGGTTACAGATGCCGTCAGTAAGTGTGTCCAGATTCTCTATTATAAACCAACTCCTGAAACTTTTTCCTTTTCCGCTGAGTGGATTCTTTTGGAGGCTTTTTTCCACTGGGAGAGATTTGACTGCTTTAGTATGTTTTTCCTTTGAAATATCTCTCACTTTCTCCAACTACCATAGTCATTATAAGTTGCATATAGCTGTTATTGTCTGAAAAGGAATTTAGTGTTGTGTGGTTGGGTGTAATAATTATTTAAATGGGCACATATTGTACAGTTTTTTGTATTTTATTTTTCTCCCTGAGGTCCACTTATAGTGTTTCTGTGGTTTTATGTGTCAAAAACAGTCATAATTCTTTTTTCACATGAACAAATTTTCCAACTTTTTTATCCCTTAGAATTAAATAGGCTGCTCTGGAACTTTTTTTTCTGATTGGCTGAGCGGTACTGTGCCTCTTCCAAAAACAGTTATTATAACAATCTTTAGCAGTTACTATAATTCTCCTTATAATTAAAGCATAAATGGGCAGAGCTAAGCTGCAGTAGGCTGAATTGGTGGATATATGTAAATGTGTTGGTTTTCATGACAACACAAAAAATGTAAACTCAGAATTGCAGTTTAGTTTCCATATGTAGGCCACATGGACCAGGGAGTCAATGGTATGTTTTCAAACTAGCAATGTTTACATACTACATCAAACTCTTTAGTTTAAAAAAAGCATGGAAAGTATTCCGTGATATGGGTTCTTTGCCGTAAAATAAAGCCACAGCTTATCCAGGGCCTTAATAAAAGCTGAAGGAAGCTGTTCCCCTTTATGCTCTAAACAAATAAAAATGATCACTAAAAACGAAAAGCAGATTTTTCCTGATAGATATTTTTATGATTAAAGGACAGAAAACCTTGTTGTTTTCCATCCTTTATAATCATGCATGCAACTTCACTGATAGCTGTAGTACTTTGAAATTTCCTACTTCTCTGTAGCTTTCCAGTAGGCTTAGGCACAGTCCAATGGGGCAGTTGTTTAAGCTTTGAAAAACTGTATAAGGCTCCCTTTTTGTAAACAGGAAACTCAAAGTATGGCCCTTCTTGGCTTTGTGTATTCTTTGTTTATTCAGAACAACAATACTGTTTCCATTAGCATTAATAACACATTTAATTTATGGAAAAAAGAATGTAGGAGCACAGTTTAGCCAAGAGATCTGATTTAGATTTGTGAAAAGCTTTAAGGCTATAACAGTTGCCCCCATTACTGTGTTTGAGTCCAGTGAGAGGCTGTAGAAGAGCAGGAAGTTTTATAAAGCTATCAGCAAGGTTTACAGGCATAAACATTGAAATATGTTTAGTGGAAGTTCTCATTGCCATGGACAGCTGTGGGTTGTGGGTTGAAAAGATCCCAAAGGACGGACCTCAACATATTTACTAATGACTCATGCCAGTTACCTCAATAGAGCCATTCATGATGAGTAAAAGATACTTAGATGCATATCCGTTCTTTTTGAGACTGCTCAATCAGTTTTTTGCCCCTGAGGGAAGAATTGTTGCTAAAGCAACAGGTTCATTAAGGCAAACATAAATGCTCAGCTTTATTGTTGCCTTTTTAGGAAGAGCAGAATGTATGCATAATTTTTTTGACTAATGCCTGATTCCACAAAAACTATTTTATTATTCACAGTTTGGCCACGTTGATCCTTTTAGACTGAATTCTTTGTTGATGCAGGTTTTAGATGATGCAAAACTGAGATATTCTTTTTTGACTTATTGTGATTAAGTGTTGTACAATCACTTTCTGCTTTTCTCTTCTGCCTCCCCCCTCCTGTGATCAGAGTGCTCAGTGAGTGCTGTAGCGGATCTGGTTTTCCTGGTGGATGGCTCCTGGAGTGTGGGAAGGGAAAATTTCAAATTCATCCGGAGTTTTATTGGGACCGTGGCAGGAGCCTTTGACATTGGAGAGGACAAGACCAGGGTGGCTGTGGTGCAATACAGCACAGATACCAGGACAGAGTTCAACCTGAACCAGTATTACAGACGGGCAGAGCTCCTCCGGGCCATCAAAAATCTGCCCTACAAAGGGGGCAACACCATGACAGGTGTGTATCATTGTACATGAGTGTTTGTATGATTCCCTGAGGTTCAACAAAAGATTTGTTATATATATATATATATATATATATATATATATATAATATATATATATATATATATATATATATATATATATACACATATATATGTATATATATATATGTATATATATATATGTATACAAATCCCTCACCATTAATTTTCACCTTAATTTTCATACCAGGTGAAGCCATGGACTATCTGGTGAAAAACACTTTCACTGAGGCAGCTGGAGCCAGGAAAAGTTTCCCCAAAGTGGCCATGATCATCACAGATGGAAAATCTCAGGATCCAGTGGATGAGTATGCCAAGAGACTGAGGAACATAGGAGTTGAGGTTTTTGTCTTAGGTATGTCTCAGTCTTTGAATACTGTTCTTAGCATAAATGTATAATTACAAAGCTGTTTATTAATGAACCTTTAAATTGTTAATACACTATCCATTGTATCTAATGTAGCTCTTTGTTTGCTGTTCAGGTATCAAAGGTGCTGATGAAGATGAACTAAGGGAAATAGCCTCCACTCCTCACAACAGGCATATATACAATGTGCTAGACTTTGATTTAATTAAGGAAGTGCAGAAGCAGCTCGTCACAGAGGTGTGCTCTGGAGTGGAGGACCAGCTGAGCTCCCTCGCGAGTGGAGAAGAAGGTATGACTGGACTCAAGCAATATAGCAATACATCATTCACATTCCTCTTTATCACGCCACCCTTTCATTGATTTCCGTTCAAGTAGGGATACGTCTATTGTAGGTTGTAGTGATACACTGCGGTATAGAAGCCATGGACAGTGATAGTAATGTAGAGTCAAATTATAATATTTCTGGTAACTGTACAATCACTGTTATCCATGGTAATATCCATACCTAGCCCTACTGCTCGTATAACATCTTAATGGGATCATATCTTTCTGCAGTTGTTGAGCCAGCCTCAAATCTCCAAGTGACAGAGATCTCCTCTAAGTCCATGAGAGTCACATGGGATGCGTCTCCAGGCGATGTCACAGGCTACAAGCTGTCGCTTATGCCCATGCTTGCTGGTAGCAAGAGACAGGAATTGTACACAGGGCCCACCCAAACCTCTGTGAACGTCAGGGACCTGTCCCCCGAAACTGAATATGAGATCAGTTTGTTTGCACTTAAAGGTCTGGTCCCAAGTGAGCCAGTACTGGCCATGGAGAAGACCCAGCCTGTCAAAGTGTCAACAGGTAAGTTAAAGCCATACTAAGCACAATGTGTTTCTCATGTAGTCACAAGAATGAGGAATGGAAGTCTAGAACCACCCACAATTACTTAATTTAAACCTCTTTTAAAATGGTACTGACCCTTTTTTATCATAAAGATCCTTCTGTGGATTCTAAAATGTATTTGTCTTCCACAGAGTGTTCTCTGGGAGTGGATGTTCAAGCCGATGTTGTCCTTCTGGTTGATGGTTCCTACAGCATAGGACTGGCAAATTTTGCTAAAGTGAGGTCCTTCCTGGAAGTGCTGGTGAATTCCTTTGACATTGCACCCAACAAGGTTCAGATCAGCTTGGTCCAGTACAGCAGAGACCCTCACACTGAGTTTGCCCTCAACAAGCACCACGACAGCTCTGCGGTGGTAAAGGCCATACGCACATTCCCTTATCGAGGAGGCTCCACCAACACTGGCAAGGCCATGACCTACGTGAGGGAGAAAATCTTTGTGGCAAGCCGTGGCGCCCGTGACAACGTGCCACGAGTCATGGTGCTCATCACTGATGGCAAGTCCTCCGACTCTTTTAAAGAATCTGCAGCCAACCTGAGGAACACAGATGTGGAGATCTTCGCTGTAGGGGTTAAGGACGCTGTGCGATCTGAGCTGGAGGCCATCGCCAACCCCCCTGCAGACAACCATGTGTTTGAGGTGGAGGACTTTGATGCCTTTGAGAGAATCTCCAAGGAGCTGACCCAGTCCATCTGCCTCAGGATCGAGCAGGAGCTCCTCAACATCAAGAAGAGAAGTAGGAAAACAGTTGTTATTTGGAAGCTATTAAGTATCAACAGCTATGAAGCAAGATAATTAATCAGGCAATTCGGCCACTATAGGCTTATTTAGCTGAATTGTCAGCTAAAATTTCATGATTGTGAGAGACCAAGTACTGAGTAATCAAGAAGGTTAAGGGTCTTAATCAATATGATAGTCAAGATTCATTAAAGTGACATAAACAATGGGACAGGAACATAATAAGGGGAACTGGTTCTTGTGCTTTTATGGTAATATTTTGACTTGTGTGAGAAAAGTTGAGGGCTGAAAGCAGATTTCATCAAAGACCTTAACACAGTTTTGGAAACTTCTTATTTTGTCGAGTCGTTTGTCCGGCCCACACTTCAGAGGCTTTGATTGTTTAAAGTCTCCTACCAGAGCATGCCTCTGAATCATGTGCCTGGACCTCAGAGGACCCTGTTACAGCATATGTTATCACTCACAGTATTTCAACACTATGGTAACAGCAGGGGCTCTATTTTCGTAACCCTTTTTTTTCAAATTGAAAGCCTCTGAGTTCCTAGCTCATCCATTATTAGCACCACAGTAGCTACGTGTTTCATTTTTATGGTAAAATTGTAGAGTTTTGATTGAACACCTAAATGCCATAATATTAAGCCCTAAAATTCACTAACTTAGAGGGAAAATGAATGATAAAGTTTGCCTTGTTATGTAATATACTGAAGTATATTCTGAAATAATATTCCCTCAGATGTCAGATTACTTTCCACCTCTGCTCTGAACTAATTAATAATTATCATAGTTTCGCCTGTGGTGTCTTCATCCAAGGAAGTTCCTTCAACTGATCATAATGTATCTGTTCTTTCAGGTTTGCTTCCACCAAAGTCCTTAACATTCTCAGAGGTGACATCCAGGAGCTTCAGGACCAGCTGGGTCTCCGACGCCACAGATGTCCTGTCTTACCTGGTGCGTTTCCGCCCAGCTGCTGATGTAACCGGAGACTACATCTCTCTGTTTGTGCCTGCTGAGACCACCACTGCTGTCTTGCCTCATCTCACCCCATTTACCACCTATGAGGTTAATGTCTTTGCCCAGTATGAGAGAGGAGACAGCTTTCCGTTAACAGGAGAAGAGACTACTTTAGAAGGTATGGGCCCATATACAAGTTGAAGTGAAGTCTCTTACAGTAATCAGAGTCAAACGTGAACCTTTGCAGTATAGTTGTTTATTGTGTAACCTGTGATGGTCTTTAAAACACTGTGTGATAGTTTGGAAAATTCAAAGTCAATCAAAGCAATCAAAGGTTTTCAGTTATTTTGGTTTGGTTTTCATCCTGTTGGAGACTGTTCCCCTTATCAAAGTGATTGGTTGGATGAGACCGATAAAATTATCTCTCTGCTTGACTTGTTGGTCAACTTAAAAAAACAAAAGAATAAACGAAAACAAGGCATTTGGAGTCATGGGTCAAGTGATGGCACAGTCTTTGTGTCTATTTCAAGTATTTTCTGCATGATATATTCGATAAAACCGTTAGATGTATCAATGACCATGTGAGAAGCTATAAATGATGGAAACAGTGTGCCTCTGACTGGATGTGCCATTTTTTATAGGCCTACAAAATGAATACATTTATGTTTATTTCCTTTAAAAAGCTCATAATAGTGAGGCAGGTTTGTTGTGACAGTAGCCATTTTTGCTGCATACATTTATTCTTAATGTTTTGCTGCCTTTTTGAAATACAGAACAAGGAACTGTCCGGAACCTCAGAGTGACAGAGGAGACTACCGACAGTTTCCGAGTGTCGTGGCGGTCAGCTCTAGGGTCTGTTCTGCGCTATAGGGTGTTCTACGAGCCTGTGAATGGTGGAGACAAATTGGAGGCAATGACTGAAGGCACCGAGACCACCATCGTGCTGCAGGAGCTGTTTCCCAGCACCACCTACCGTGTGACTGTTTCTGCTGAGTATGCATCTGGCATGGGGCCTCCAATGGACACTCTCGGCACCACCAAAGAAGGTCAGCGCATGCAGTGTTTATGTTTGAGATGTGGTGGACTCCTCAGTACTTCTGAATTACCAGCATGTGATGTATTATTGTCTTATCTTAGTCAGTGTGGGTCCATATTTTCATAACTACATAACTTGCATATTGGTTTCATAGTAGTTACGTTTCCTAGTACGATTAATAGCTGAATAATAAGTCTGCAATTTAAGGGGGTTAATCAAGGCCTAAATCTTGAATTTCACATAGTTTTTACGTCCATAATCAAAAGCAATTATCATTATCATTTAGACTTTATTATTATTAATATGAAATATCAATCTTTTTTCAGCTAGGGGCTCCCCACGCGATCTGAGGGTGTTTGATGAGACCGAGTCCACAATGAGGCTCACATGGCAAGCTGCTCCTGGAAATGTGCTTCAATATCGCATAGCCTACAAACCTGAAGGCGGGGAGAGGAAAGAGATTGCCGTTAAGGCAGACTCCTTGGCTGCCATGCTCAAAAACCTGTTGCCAGGCACGGAATATGAGCTTTTCGTTAGTGCCCGCTACCCCTCCGGCCTTGGAGATCCCCTCCTGGGAAAAGGCACCACATTAGAGGGTAAGAGATGACTTGCTGTCTGCTTTGGAAGACCATGAGCAATGTTTATGGTTTGCTCTGCTCATTGCATGTTTGAAAGTTTGCTGAGGCATCTAATGAAGAATCGCTAGGCAACAGATGAAAACACTCTGTGATAAGGGTGGGTGATATGGTAAAGATATAACATCACGATAGCTCATTTCTGTGATCTACAATATGCGGCACAATATTTTGTTGTTCTGATGTTAAAAGAGGCCAGTAGTGGCACATTTAAACATACTATCAAAAGTTATGAATGCAGTGATTTTAGTAAATGTTTCACATACTGCACTAAATCTCATTAAATAGGCCTTAGCGTGCTCTCTTTGTAATAACGTTCTTGAAGCGCTGATGTTCACAATATGCTCAGGAAAGATATATCACAGTAATGATAGATATTGTCATATTGCCCACCCTTTCTCTGTGAGTCATACCCATTCTTCATAGCAGTTACTTTTAGCTCATGTGCACAAAAGCCTTAAGCACAGCTCTTTGCTGTCCATGAAAAAACATGTCTCCATTTTGGCAATGTTTATTTTTCTACATAATTTGAACCTGGTGTCCTTTACATTGTGTGAACATTTCATTATGAATGGACCAATAGAAATGCTCTAAAATTACTTGGAATAAATCCTCTAAACTTTAGATTAACTTACAATAAAAGTTAAGAACGTTTTCGCCTTCTTTTGTAAAGTGACTCTTTTGGAGAGACATGTTTTGCTTTGGACAGCCACAGCATGTTGCTTGAGTAACAAGCTTTGTCTAATCCGTTTACAGCAAGCACCTCTGTCTTGCACACATGCTGTTGTTAAAGGAAATAGGGGTGGCTGCAACAGAAGCCTCATAAAAGTGAGAATGCTCTGCTAGGAGGAACACACGCGCTATCATTGTTCTCACGCTTTTGTCCGGCGCTCCAGTCTCTATACAAGCGCAGCGCCTATTTAAAACACATTTGTAATTGTCCGTGCCACTGTGAAATTCATTCTACTAATTTGTGTTTGAGGAGTCACAAATGGATGACTTCTAGACTGAAATAATAAACAGTGTGTGCTGGGGACATCTGTTTCTGCTATAAGGCAAGCCCTTAGTGGCATTAGGTTATGGCCAGGGTTAAACTAGGTCCATTCCTGGTCATCATGTAACAACAGCTCCTCTGTCTGAGCCCACGGTGGAGCGTCAGCACCCCTGATTTGTCATGCTTGAGTCAGCTCTAGCTGATGGGGGCTAAATCACTCTGACTGACCAAGGACTTCCCCTGGGTGCCTCCTGGGATTCCCCCTGCTGGGACTTTGATTATGTTCTGCAGCACACTGGGAATGTGGTGTAAGGGCAGGAAGAGAGTGGGCTTTGCTGGTGTTGAGTTACACACTCATGTTCACAAATGTCATTAGATGGCCCAGCGGTAGCCACAGAGGAGACGGCCAAAAGGTATTGATAGAGTGTTAGGAGAGGTGGCTACACAGACGTATGCCTCCTTAGTGGCAGGGCAGGCATTAAGTTACATATTTATTCTAACATAGTCAGTTTGAGGTTGTTTGGCCTGCTGATAGCTGAGGAGGTGAGTAATGACAGGAAGTATTGCGCTGTGCTGTTGAGATTTGTTGGAGTTTGGTTAGTGCTTTAGTCCATCACTAAAGAGCTTTAAAACAATTTAGGTAATAGTTCTCAGATTTTTCACCTTACCCTCCTGCACTCTGTGTGCTTTTTTCAAAAGTCATTTTCACTGATTCGTAAGACTTTTATTTAAGGCTGGAATGATAAGCTATTTTGAAAACTGGGACAAGATTATCAAAACCGTAGTTATTTTGCATTAGCATATTAAGTACATCTATGACAGTGTCCATTTCGCCAGAGGGGCAACACAACCTTACGGCCTTTTCACAACAAGCAAAAACAGAGGGCTTGTTTTGAAAATGTGGACAATAACACTAATGCCAATTTTTACATCAGAGTTCATGGTTGCTCATGGGTTGTTTGGTGATTTGGAGTTGTTGCTTTTTTCCAAAAAGGTAGCAAAAAAGTCATTTGTGAGTTTTAATCAAACCAGTCGCTGTTCAACTGTATCTTTAGAGCTGCATATCACAGTGAGTTAACTACAGTAATTAGCATTTCCCTATTTTGTTTAAAATCGATGTAACTGGCTGAAGCATCATCCTAATTAAAGTCCAAGGCAAGCATTTTTTACAGATACAAAAATGTCCCTGTGAATGCAGACTTCCTGTTGATCATTTTAGCAGAATGGGCCGTTAACCAGTGTCTGCATTTTTGAGTTACACTGGCTAAAAGAAAAAAGAAAAACTTGGTTGCGTTACTACACTATGGAGTAGTATTTTTTCTTCCTCTTCACCTTCACACAACTGTTTGTCTTTTTACAAAGACTAAACGTTAAAGTATAATTAAGACTGTATGGCATCAGAAACTGCAGCTCACAGGGCAACTTACTGCTGCATGTGTAAATGAAGTAAAAGACTGGGGTTTTGGATCACAGATCCAAGTGCTGAATGCTCATGCACACAAAATGGAAATAAAAAACACTGAATTCTACTTAACAATTTCATGGCCATTAACAATAACTATCATTAAACTGATAAGTGATCCAAGCCCTACTTTTATAATGATCATTCCTTTACCTCATTCCTTTTTGATGAAAACACAAAAAAGAGTATTTTACTTGGTTGGGTATAGAGAATCATGTAGCTGTGCCATTGCTACACATACTGCCTAATTCACTTTAAATGAAAGGCTTGCCTGAATGCAGGTCTCTAGTGCCAAAAATCAAGCCCTTTTCCCCTGAAGGCAACATGTACACAGAATCACATAAAAGTAATGCCTTTGTGCTTCTGTGCAAGATCTGGAGCTTTTGTCTGGGGCTTGTGCTGTGGAAGAAAGAGCAGCAGTTAGAATTAACTAGTGGGCTTGTTTGATGCAAGAACCAGAAGCTTGTCCAAGAATTCGACCATCAGCCTTTTTCTCCCACACTGAAAAATGAAAATGTTCTCTTAATGGAGGAAAGCATGAGTGTGAGACTTTTCTGCTTCAAAGACTCCTGTTCACTGTTGGTAGTGGTCATGGAATTTTGCTGGGACACTTCCTCCTCTTCTTGCTTGGGTGAGAATGGAACATAGTTTTGCAGTAGGTTGCCTGATGCTGCAGCTGCTGTTTATGCTGACTCAGTGTCGGATGCCTCCCACGCAGACGGGGTCAAAAGCCTCTTTTCTCTCTGATGATACGCCGTCTCTAGGCTGAGCCCCATTTAGCTCCACGTCATGGTGGCAAACACAGATCTCTTTGTGTTATACGGCATTGGTTTCCTGGAATCCTTGTTGGGAGGCAAGGCCCAGTCAGCACAATTCAAAAGAGCCATGAGAGAGGGCCTGCAGAGGCTGATCAGGATGGGCCGAGGGTTGGCGTACACAGTCTCCCTCCACTCAGGCCTCCTGTGGAAAACTCATAATTAGCCTGTTTCATTTCTGAGTACCATCGACAGCTCTTACAAATGAACACTGTTACCAGTTGGCAATGGTTAGAGACAAAGAAAGAAAAGAAAAGCCAAACCTAAATGCCTCTGGACACATTCATATGGTTGATGTATTAAAATGTGAAGGAAAGCCAAGGCATTTGGAAGTGGTTATTCAATAGAACGAAGCTGAATGCTGCATGCTGTGTTGTCTGAATGGGGTTGGGTTCTCCCTGAAAGCAGTACAGTACATGTCAAGGTTTGGAATAAATATGTCTGTGTTTATAGTTTCATTATAAGCAATTTTTTAAAATGTTGAGATTGCTATTTATGTTATTGAATTTCACTATTTGTATTGTTTTTGTTTGATACTAGAGATGGCATATCGACATTGATGGCTATCAATATTGAGCTGACATCGGCAGAAGATGCTGGATTGGATATTTTAGTAAAAAAAGAATTAATGCGATCCAATTCTGTAACAAATCTAGCCTGAAATAGCTTACAGCCACGTGGTATGATGTGTTTTTAGCTGTGTATTTCTTGTGGGGTAGGAGAGTGTTTGAGTAGTTTGAACATTAATTAATTTTAGACAGTGCTTCAATTAAAAATAGCTTGTTTCTAAGTTTTTAAAATACTGTATCTGTATCATTATATTGACTCATACTCAAGGTTTCAGTATTAGCATCGGTATAGGTATTGGTAGTGGTACTGTACCATCTCTGTAATGTATTTTTGCTGTTTCTGAGTTATAACATGCTTGAACTTTAGTGATAGTTTGGTAAAATATCAGAAATACAGACAATTCATTGTTCAAGATAGCTGCTAAGATAACTGTTTTTAGCTACGTGATGTGCTTTTGTTTGTTTTTATAGCTAACAGTAGGTCATACAGTGTCAGAAACCATGTAAGCAAGTCTATTTAAGATTACGTCAAAACTTGATGTGGTTTGAAGTAAGTGTGATGTTTTAGGCATGCAGTTTGCATAATGCTAATTGGTGAGGTACTTAGCTTCATTAGCCTCATTGCTCCACTACAGAACTACAGAAACAAACTTTAGGCACTAAAATGTCAGTTTGACTACATTTAGTTAAGGATAAAATTGTATTGTATGTGTTTTTTTTATTGAAAGTATAGCTAAAAGTAGAAAAATGCAGTGTTCCTTTCAGCGGATATGTCAGCAGTATGTATACTGAATGCTAGCCTGTTTGCTTAACACACTGGTCTGAACTGGACAGAACTGAGCTGAAATCCAGGCATGTGTGTGTGAGTGGCTGAACACCAGGTACATTGGGTTGAGGTTTGACTCCATTTTGTCTCCTCATGCTCCTGTTGTGTGGAAACTAGGCTGTGGTTGTGCGGATGGTTCCCTTGCCAAGGTGTGTACCTGAAGGCCGGAGCTGTCTGATTTTCTTCTATAGACAGTGAGAGTGAGCCAGGAAAAGGCTTTACCTCTCACTCACCTCACAAGCTCAGGGTTCTCCTACACAGACCTCTGCTTACAGTTAAAAATGAAAAGTCCCATCATTCTCAGAAATTGAAACAGAACTTTCCAAGAATTTGTATGTTTGATCGTACTCAGATCAACATTTGTAAGCTGTTCCTTAAAAGTCTGGCAGTCATCTGTGGGGTTTCTGTCTTTGGTTTACTACTGAATTTTTTTTTTACCCTGCTTCTTGATATGCCGTGATATTGTTGTGGAAGTCTGGGTTTTATCTGTGCTGGTTTTGAAGGGAGAATTGTGGACTGCATCAGCTGAAACTTCCAGCAGAAGTGCTGGCAAGCTCACATACACATCAGTCAATTGTTTGGGTCGCTTGAGCTTCAATCTTTGAGGCTTAGACCATGTAGCAGGAGGGGCTTGCTGTGCTGAATGTCATGGAGTGTGCTATTGGTTCTCATAAATCAGAGTGAATAGGAGTCTTTAATGAGTCTGTGGTGGCCTGCTTTTACTGTTTTGTGGGGGTAGGGTGCATTCAGCCAGATGAGGAAACAAATGCTCCATGCTGCTTCCCACTGGTCACTCAAAGTTCTCCAAAAGGAATCACCTCATTCCTGATCAGTGCCAATTCCGTTTTTCTACTCAGCTGACACCCGTTTGCGTTTGGCAAGTAAAGAAACTTTTTAGACTTAAAAAAGGTGAGCTTTGCAGAGTTAATTGTATTTTTCAGGACAGTATATGTTGCATGAGTGGAATAAGGACCTTCACTGCATCTCTGGTTTCCTTTCTGGATGCTCCACTACAATGAAGAAGTCTACTGAAAGAAATTCAGAAACGAGAGTGGTTCCTGCGTGTGAAACTTGAGCAGTCATGTGCTTTAGCTCTTTAGTTCTTTTTACATATTAATGATGAAAAGAGGAGTGTTGTCTGCAGGAGTCATTAGCATGTGTTCTGGTCCCTGCAGTGCTCTGGTAAAGTCTAGTGGGGAGTTCTGAGCTGGGATGTGGAGGCCTACCTTGGATCAAGTCAGCTTGGCAGCTGCAGTTGCCATGGTACATTAATTTGAAAAGCCTGAAATTCTCCTCTAGTTCCTTGTAGAATTCATTACTTCACATGCCTGGATTATCTCTCCTAGTAAACCTAACCACCCAGTGAGAACAGTAACCTCAAGCTGTATAGCAACCAACTGAGGTACTGAATTTACCGGTACACCCACTAACAATTTAGGTTAACTTGCTGAAGAAAGCAGAAATAAAATAGTTTTTTTCCAAACTGTTGATCTCATAATTTGTAGTCTTAGTTTTACCTAAATACTATCAATTTAACTATTTCCTCGTACTCAGACATGGGCACACAATTAGTCCAGGAACTTTAGTTATTGATTAACTCGCCCAAATAGTAGCTAGCAAGGCTCGTGTGAACAGAGCAGAGCACAGTGGGTGGTTGTGAGGGGCCATGGGAGTCAGGTAGCCGCCATGTGGACAGTGAGGCTCACGGGGTGCAGAGCCAGAGGCCTTCACAGTGAGGGCGCTGCACACTGCCAAATATTCACTGGCAACCTGTCAACACTGCCGCAGATCACTCCCCCATCATTTTTCTTTCCTCTCTTTTCCCTCCCCTGCTGTCCTCTGAACATATGCTCCAGCAAGAAAGAGAGAGAGAGATAAAGAGAGGTGAGTTAGGATGTGAGCTTGAAAGCAGCATCTGCAATTTTAGCGAGCAGCATTTAATGGATTGAGTTTCTTGTTGGATGGAAAATAAAAGTGGTGACAGGCTCACATGCACACAAAGACTGAATGCTTTTGCAGAACTTTCTCGGGGTTTGACGTTATTAGCAGGCCATATCGCTTTGATCAAAAGCAAAAAGTATGAAGACTGGTTTAGATTTAGTGATATGTTTGTGGAATAACTGATCTTTTTCTCTGTAAGATAACACAGACGGTTTCAGAGTGAACTTGTCTGCTTGCCACATTACCATGATTTACACCCACAAAGTGACAATAAAATGTGCTTGATTTGACTGGATTGCACTGTAATTTTGCTTTTGTATCCCCAAAACAAGTCTATGTGATGGATATCTTTATTGTTGTTTTGAAGTCTTTCTTCATGCAGCTCCATGAAAATCTGATCTGTTGATTTTGTTTTTAACATTTTCACCTTCTCCTCTTCCACAGTACTTGGCTCTCCTAAAGACTTGGTCACTAAGGATGTTACTGAAACCAGCTTTGGTGCTTCCTGGACTATTGCGCCTGGCAACGTGCGTGGTTATCGAGTCGCCTGGAAATCCCTATTCACCGAAGAGGCTGGGGAGAAGACAGTCCCGAGTGATGTCACTGCCACCGTGCTGGACAGGCTGACTCCAGAGACGCGCTACAAAGTCTCTGTGTATGCATCCTATGGCCGTGGAGAGGGAGAGCCGCTGGTGGGAGAGGAAACCACAGATGGTAAGTCCATTCCCGACCATGTAATGTGTCCACCAGAGCTGCGGATGCTCTTTACCTTTCTCTTTTGACAGAGAGGGGTCTCATGTCCTGGGCTTACCTCAGTTCTGACATAGGGAGAAAAGACAAAGATAAACTGTGCAGAAATGTGAAACTACTCCATGATCTCCCTGGAGAATTGTGCAACTTTCTGAGTGCGGAATGAAACACGTAAGATTCATTTTGTGTTGCAGAATACAATAAGTTTGTCATACTTGTATATTTAAGCATCAAATCTGAGTAATCGGAGTGACTTGTTGGTTATGGTGAGCATTATGATGATATTTATTGTTATCATGATAAAATACATCATAATATGCTTTTTTTCTTGCTTTAACATGTTGAGAACATCCTTGCAACTTAAAGAACACTGACAAATTGCATGATAAGAGAGCAAAATAATCCTGTTTATTTTTAATTTTTAAAATGGGCACTATTGGGTTTTTTAGTAAACTTATCAAACCTCATATAAGTGGAATATTGTGATATGTATTGTGTATTGTGAATATGTCTTCATATATTGTTATATTTTGCCATCTTAACCACTCCTGCTTGTTGTTGTCATTCAGATTTAATTCTTAAATATACAATTTAGTATGACAAACTAGTCTTCTCAAATATAAAACAAATCTTATGTCCTCTTTTCCAAATTCAAATTCAGATTCATACAGTTAAAAAACAAATATATCATACATATAGTATATCGTACGTATATCATGTACTGTCGCTGTCCAAAGAAAACATATATCTACAAAATAGTAACTTTTTAGGAGAGGGCAAAAATGTTCTTAACTTTTAATAATAATAATAAAAAAATTTTATTCCATGTGATTTTGGAGAGTTGCTGTGGGTCCATTCTTCATTAAACTTTCACACAATGTGAAAGGACAGCTGCCATGTTCAAATGATGTAGAAAAATAAAAATCGACAAAAATGGAGATATGTGTTTTTCTTTGGACAGTGACAATATGTAGCATGTAGATCGTGTATGTTAATATGTTGTCGTATCAAAACTATATTTTCTTCATAATTTGAACATGGCAGCTGCCTTTTGTGAGCAAGTGAGTAAGATGATTGAACCTGTAGAAATTATCCAAAATGGTTTGGAACAGAATCTTGTTCACTTACACAAGTTAACTTACAATAAAAGCTAAAAATGTTTTTTTTCCCCCTGTAAAGTTACCTTTGTGGGGATACAAGGTTGTGTTAGGGCAGCAATGACATAGGTCCCAGTGCTATTCCAGAAGGTTAGAGAGAACCTTCAGTCTGGTCCTCCAGTCTGATCTGGAAAAAGTGAAAATAAAAAGTGAGTTACGACTCCTTTCACAAGTTCAAGAATAGCGTCATTGTTGCTGGCAGGGCTGCTCCTTCTGACATACAAAATCTGTAAATTTATATGTGTGTGCGTGTTGGTGAACGAATGGGTGATGTAATATGTCACACATGCTCTGTGTTAAAAGGAGGATGTGAAGCTTGAAAACATCATTGGTGATGGACAGGGTCTCCCCAACTTACCTCTCTGATCAGGGCAAAATGAGAAAAGCACATGCAGGAAAATTTACCCTGATTCCGGGGACTTTAGCTAATGGTTACCACAACCAAATGTCTGCATGGAAAAACGTGCCGTTCGTCCATTTGTTTATTGACTCTGGCGACTCCACCAGGTGCTTGTTTTGAGTCAAAAACAAGCCTCAGACATCACTAGGGGCCTGTGTGTTTTATGTCCATGGTCACTCCATTCCCAACACCACCTTCCATAAACCAGCACTTTCCCAGTAACATATTGTATTCGCTTGGGTCAGGCCACATTTTCAGAAACTTGGAAGTGGTATTTTCCATCCATAAAACCCCTACTTTGAAAAAAAAGGCTTCAGCGTCTGAAAGTGTTCCGTGGATCATTTAATGCCCTGACAATTCATTCGGCTTCTTCCTGCACCAAAACACCCTGGAGTCACGGTATGGAAAGAGAACATTGTGGGCAGATTCAGAATGTTTGGCTTGAAGCGCAACCCGATGTGTATGTTCTCTAGGTCTGAAGAGAGTCTTTTCAGCTGCAGGGAGAGTGTTTTGGCAGATGTGTTTTCACCAGCAATACGGTTAGGTTTTCCAGAGGGTGTTTACCAGCAGCTGAAGATGAAATCTCTCTTTATAATATAAATAGGTTTGCATGTACTGAACTGACTATTTGTGGAATTATGGCTAAGAAATTGATTTGGCAATGGTCACCACGGCATTTAATACTCACTCTCATTCACCCCCCACTTACAGTTTCAGCTGCGGCCAGAGCCATTACTGTAACCGAGGAGACAGAGAGGAGCATGCGGGCCACATGGCAACCGGCGCCCGGAAACGTTGTTAATTACAGGGTGACATACAAGCCTCATGATGGCGCACGACCAATGGTCACCAAAACACCAGGCGGCACCACTACAGTTGTCTTGCGACGACTACAGCCCAAGACCACTTACGATATTGTAGTGGTTCCTGTCTACAAGCATGGAGATGGAAAAGCAAGACAAGGAGTGGGAACCACATGTACGTTTGTTCATAAATCAATACTGAGAGAATTTGTTTTGCTACTTACATTTGTTGCTTTGTTACAATAGGAACAATGTGATTAAGTAATTGAAATGAATGTTTAGGGAATACTCTTATTTAAAGCCTTTGAAGTGAAATTAATGAAATGAATGTTCAGGGAATACTCTTTTTCTAGGGTTTTAAGATGAAATCACCAAATGGTATTTCATAACAAAACAAGCCAGCAGTCAATTTTGTAACAGCTTTAAATGTTAAGCAGCTTTTGTTTTGTTTATATTTGACCTCTTCCCTAAGCAAAGTTATTTTGTCTGACTGTAGTAGTATAATTTGTAAAACAAGGCATCTGTAAGCCATTTTTGATAGTCTTTGGGCATCAGTGGAAATATAGTATATATCTGTCAAATGCAAATGAACAAATTCTGGCTTATCTATTGCTACTGTTTTGGGTTTGACTGTGATTTTGGCTTTAACTATCTTCATGTGTGCTCATTGTAGGCATTGATGTATCTTTCTTTCAACCTTCTTTCCAGTGTCACCTTTCAAATCTCCAAGAAACTTACAAACATCTGAGCCCACTAAGACCAGTTTCAGGGTGTCATGGGACCCTGCACCTGGAGATGTGAAGGGCTATAAAGTGACCTTCCATCCTATTGGGGATGAGATAGACTTGGGAGAGCTGGTAGTTGGTCCTTTTGACAACACAGTAGTTCTAGAGGAGCTCAGGTAGGCCATATACACACGGCTCATGTTTCATTTGTTTCTTCCTCATCTTTTCTACAATCACTCAAGTCTTATGTAAAGTGTCCCCACATACTTCATCCATTCTTTTCTTTCTTTTTATTTCATGAAAAGTAAAAAATAGATCAGAAGTGTTGACTGAATGCTAAGCACCTGATCTCTTTTTCCACAGAGCTGGCACCAAGTACACTGTGAATGTGTTTGGCGTGTTTGATGGAGGAGAGAGTATGCCCTTGGCTGGAGAGGAGAAGACCACTCTCTCTGATGAGCCTGCTACCCCACCTATCCAGGCTCCAGGTAAAGTGACCTTCCGACTCATTCACATTGTGCAGCTGTAGTAAACAGATAGATTAAATTATGTGTAGTTTTAAATCCTGAAGCAGTTTGATGTGGGCCATAAATGTCCCAAATAGATTCGAAACATGTTTGATAGCTATATATGTATTCGCTGGAAAACATAATAAATCTATTTTTTAGTTTGGGTTTAGGACAGGAATAGATAATATGGGCTTGCTTAGTTTATATGGTTCCCTTTAGAGACTGTAGAGACTCAGATCTCAGTGGTGTGCAGTGAAACTTGATTGTTGAAACTTCATATAAATGTAAAAGTTAGTATGAGGATTTGTATCAAACTTGTGGCCAAGTTTAGACTTAGGTTTTAAGTTGTGGTTAAGGTCAGGGTAAGATTTTTACATTAGATATTTCGTTGAATTTTATGATACGTTGTATGATACGGAGGGTCTGAACAATAGGATAATTTTGTGGTGAATAGAGATACTGATTTTAAGGGACTAAAAATTCTGATAGCCAATAATACTGGCCAGTATAGTTTTATTTGAATTTTAAATTGTAATTTTAGATTCCAAAAGTTTTCGTTAAACAGTGCTTCACTGACAGGTATGACTGTCCGTTTTTAATTGTCATGTTTCTCAAACTCAAATAAATTGCTGTGATACAGTTAAACAGGGGCTGACTTATACTGGGTTCTGTGAACTATTGTCGGGTGATCAAAAGTTTGAATCCTACTGATTAATTGAATCCTGCTAATTAATTACCAAAAAAGTTGGCAGATTTCGCTGCATTATCCATGATATTTTTGTCTATACTGATAAAACTGTGGTTCCTTAATATCGGCTGATATTATTGGCCTAATGATGTATTGGTTGGAGGTGAAAATCTGTTTAAAATAACATGTTACAGACTATGCAGACTAAATAAAAAATAAACTATAATCTCTGTTAGCAATCAGAGTTAAGTAACTGCACATGCCTTTCCTCCTGGCTAATTTTGTCACGAAAGAGTAGAAGCAATGACTATTCCATACAGTGACTTCATCTCAGGCTGCTTTTGGGTTTAGGAGCAGACGTGACAAAAACCTTATCTGTTCAGAATTATCAATGTTTCACAACCTAGCAGGGGAAGTGTGTGCGTGCATGTGAGTATGCGTGTGAGAAAAACAGAATGAGAGAGAGAAGAGAGGAAAATCTGACTTTTGCACTGAAAGTTTTGAGCTCAGATTGGCGACCTTGGTCTGGAATGCAGCTCCTTAATTGGGAGCAGATCCAGTGACTGGGCTCCACTGGCCAGCATGAGCTGGGGAGGAAGACAAGATTGACCCAGGCAAATCCTGCTGTCTTGCACTTTGACTGATATTTCTCACAGCACGTAGCTTATCACGCCTTCATAGCTGAACCATGAGTGCAATTAGATGGTAAATGTATTTAATGCTTTGAACCCTGGCCTTATTATTCAGGTTTATTGTTTAGTAAATACTGTGAAACCGCTATGTAAGTTTCATAGCTATTATGCTAATAGTATGTATATATATATATATATATACATACATATATATATGTATATATATATATACATACATATATATATGTATATATATGTATATGTATACACACACACATGGTAGGTGGGACCAGGTATTAGTATGCATATGAAGTTAATGGCTCATAACATTAAGCATTAAACATATTTTACATAAAAACTCAATTGTGTTTAAGCCATGGGACTAACAACTATATATTCATGATTATATGACCAAAAACTGCAATGAAATGACTAGAATATTATATTGAAAACTCTATATTCTAAAGTTATCTTTACCACTAATTACTATTTTGTTAAAATGGACAAAAATGGCATCACCAGAGCTAGCTTTGGCGAAACATACCTCAGGAGCTCTTGAAAGCTGTCACTGTCGTTGTCCTTCTCTACAGTAAACAGAGACGATAAAGTTGTCCATGTAATCACTTGCAGATGTTTGCTTTCGCAATGGTGCATTGTTGTAGATGTGCTATTGTCCTCTCAAAAAACACAACCATTTTAGCTGCACACTTCATTATTTAGCCCATTTAGTGAATCCAGATGTGTGTTGTGCCCTCATATGTGCGAAACATTCCACAACTTGAACAATAAACCTGTCTATTCAAATAGAAACTGTTGTTTACTGAAAATAAAATTAAATAAAATTAAGTTGTTAAACCAGAAGCACTGATCAAACAGTTGTTTATTTGCTGGTTAATCAGTTCATTTGTTAATCATTTAAACCCCTTGAGGGTGAGGAGTCCAAAATATGGGCATTTCAAAATATGAGTTTAAGGGGTAAATATGTGTGTGTGAAAAACAAAAGTAGTGAATACATAGGCATACTGGACAGTTTGTTAGTGTTAACTAAGTAAGTGCTTTCCTACTGATAAAGAGTTCAGATTTCTTTTTGTGTAGCATACAAGAACCAACACAACACATGAAGACTACAAGTCTAGGGCTGATAACCTCTGCAGGTTCTCTCCTGTGCTGAAATTTTGTCTAGCGTATTATTTGGCATTTAAATTATGTGCTGTCAGAAAGAGATAAATGCAGGCCACATGTGTGTGCATTCTGAAATAACCTGGAAGTCCTTAAGAGAATCTGTCCATACCTGTATTGCATGAATGCCAGGATTTTATCATCTATCCTCCATTAGAGAAAGGGTCTGTCAGTGATCAGTGGTAATGATCTTAAAATACAGCTTGTTGACAGCTATGTAATTATTAGCATGCATTAGTGATTAAAAAAGCTTGGAATTTGTTGGATGATTTACATGCATCGTAAATGTGAGGTGCACTCCAGAGTGTAATATATTTGTTTGGAGAGCTATGCCTATTATTCGGGGAAAAACATCTGTTTAGCTGGTACATTTTCTCCAGCTTTGGAAAATTCTCTTTATTCTCAGCAGAAAAGCTTGACTACATTCGTGTCAAGAGAACATTTTAACATGTGTACAAAATATTAGGGATACTTTGATTCTGAAATTTTCACAAGATGTTTGAGTTTTAGTTATTTCTCCCAATCCAGACACTCCGAGTATATAAATAAACAATAAAAGGCCTCAGTCAATTTTCAGTGTGAGCTTGTCTTGTTTTTGAGCTGCATGCGGCTGCATTCTTTCTGAGCAGGAGCAGATGGACGCCAGCGGAGCTGCATTCATTCAGGTGTCTGCAGATGATGCAGATGGAAAGGAGGTGCGGATCGGGGAATGCATAGATTCATGAAGAGCACACTGGTTCTCTTGTCATGAAGAAGAGTCTACATTGACCTCCCAGACAGTCTTATGATTGCTTGTTGCAATTTGTAAATGTAAATTTGTGTGATGTACTTAAACATGCAGAAAACAATGAATAAACTACTATTTATGCTCTGCTGGTCTGGTGTTTTTCAGCCCACCTCTGGGCTGTTTTGTGTGTGGTTCTTTTTTTATTTGTTCTCCAAAACATGCATTCTTTTTCTGACCTTCTTCATCTCCTTCAGCTTAGAGAGCAGCAGTGACTGAGGTTTATTTGTACTCTGACTCTGCTATTTTCTGCTTGCTCAGATGTAATGTGCAAAACCACTGCCCAGGCTGATATTGTTCTGCTAGTGGACGGCTCCTGGAGTATCGGCCGTCTGAACTTCAAGACCATCAGGGCCTTCATTGCTCGCATGGTGGGCGTTTTTGACATTGGCCCGGATCGTGTCCAGATTGGTAAGGGCTGTGTTTAGTTTAGTTGAGCTGCAGATTGGATGTGTGCCTAGAGGCAAGTGCTAGAGATCATGTTTCGCTTCTGTGCACAGGTTTGGCCCAGTATAGCGGAGACCCAAAGACTGAATGGCATCTGAATGCACACAAAACCAGAGAGTCATTGCTGGAGGCTGTGGCCAATCTGCCTTACAAAGGAGGAAATACACTGACAGGTCTTTAGCTCTGTAATATTCTGATATGTTGGTGCTGTATGAGGTTTCTTGAATCATAATCTCAGTATCCTTCAGCCATATGTGTTTAATAGTGTTATATTAAACATTATTAAGCCTAACTGCAGCCTTGATTTGGCTGATAGACTGTGGGTTTGGAAATCCTCTGCACTCATGTTATAACTGATTTACGTCTTTTTTTTCCGCAGGCCTCGCTTTGAATTACATCCTACAGAACAACTTCAAAGCCAACGTGGGCATGCGTCCAAACTCCCGTAAAATTGGTGTTCTTGTCACTGATGGAAAATCACAGGATGATGTTATTGCCAACTCTCAGAATCTACGTGACCAGGGCATTGAGCTCTATGCAATTGGTGAGGAAACTTTTACTCTTCCATGCAGAAAGACTGTGATATATATATATATATATAATAACCTTCATAAAATGGTATTCTACCTGAATACTCTTTAGATAGCACCCTTTAATTGACATAAGTTACATAACTATGAGCTTTACAGTTGGCAGGGTTTTAACCTAGCAGTCAAAAGTTTAGACACACCTGATTGAATGTGTTGAATGTATGACATTTTGACCTACAGGCTTATGTTTAAATATTTGAACAGTTGTTGCCTAAACAGATATAATTCATGCAGGTCATATCTGTGTATAAATGTATTTCAAAAATTAAACATTTGTTTTAGAATTTTCATGAAATGCCCCCTAAAAAGTAGTTTTTGGCAGCCAACAAGGCAGTTCTGTTGGAAAAGCATTTCAGGTTTCACCTTATGAAGCTACTTAAGAGAATGACAGGACTGCGCAAAGTTAACATCAAGGCAAAAATAGGCTACTTTAAGAATCTAAAATATAAGATTTTATTATTATTGTGATTATTTTGTCACTGCGTGATTTCATATGTATTATTTCATATTTGATGTCCTATTCTAAAATTTCTCCTAGAAACCCTTCTATAAGCTGTTATGTTTTATGGAAGCCCCTTCCCACCACATAAACGAGAAAAAATTGCCTACTGATGTTTCTGGCATCAGTATGTCAACATTTTGACTACCTCAAAAAAATGACTTATTTTCTCAAAATGTCAATGTACTATATCAAAATAATAACTTGGTATCTCATAATAATGACTTTCTATGCCAAAATAAATACTTATTTCCTTTACAAAATTTTGACTTAGTATCTCACAATAATGACTTATTTTCTCAAAATATTGACCAGCTATGTCAAAATAATGACTTATTTTTCGAAATATTCACTTACTATGTCAAAAATAATAATCTGCTATCTTGTAATGACTTATCCTGAAATAAGTACTTGCTTTTCTTGAAATTTAATAACTCAAAATCCTGAGAAACTAAATCATTATTTTGAGACTCTAAATCAATATTTTGACATACAGCTGCTTGAAACAGAGAAGGAGAAAAAACACAGATGGGAATGGGCTTCCAGAGTGTTTAAACATTTGACTAGTAGTGTATCTGAACATCCAACCTGGGCACTAATTTGGGTATTTGTTGAGGGTGGGTCTGGGCAAAAAAGGTCCTAAATGTTCTCGTCTGTTCACTGTGGTATGCAGGTGTGAAGAACGCTGATGAAAATGAGTTGCGTTCCATCGCCACTGATCCTGATGAAATCCACATGTATAACGTGGCGGACTTCTCCTTCCTCCTGGACATTGTTGACGAGCTGACAGACAATCTCTGTAAGAGCGTCAAAGGCGAAGGTAAGTCTAAGGGCATGCTCTAATGACCATCATAATGAAAGGACTCTTGTGTATTAATCTCAGTTTTGGCACAAACATGTAGAGCCATTGGGACTAAATAGAACCTACTGATGTGTTTAAGAGGGGCTGATGAAAGAATACCTGATGGCTAGGTCAGATATTTAGCCTGAGATGTACTGATAGTTTCACTAGTTGTTGAGTGCTGAGTAAATCTGCCTGCATCACCGAGGGAGGACATCTGAGAGGCTGTCCTGCAGCCAAGCTTCTATCTCATAACGATGCTTCCTAATTTTCTCTGTCATGATCAAATACCTTTGGATTAAGAGAGGGTTTTTTCCATTAAAGAAGCAGGAATTCCTTTTCTGTCAAAGCCTTTTGGGTAATCTAGCCAGAACATGTCAGCAGCAGCATACTTTCTTTTAGTGGGAGTCTGACTAAGGCAATAAGTGAAAGGTCATAGAAATAAGTGGAGGAAAGTTCTGACCCAATTGTTTTTTAGCAAAACAGAAAGCACAAGTGGCAAGGGAGACCCATTCTGTTTAAGTAAAGCCATTAAAGAGGTCAGATTTTAAACTGTCACCTTTATCCACTTTAGGAGGAGGAGTGGCGCCACCCACTGACCTGGTGACCTCCGAGCCGACCCACTATTCTTTCCGTGTCACCTGGACAGAAGCTGAGGGCCCTATCGAAAAGTACCGTGTAGAGTATGTTCCAGTGGCTGGAGGCCAAACTCGACAGGTATTGTTCTAATCTCCTCAGATGAAGAAACCGCAGCCTCGAAGTACAGTTCTGTGCAAAAGTCAGAGACCACCCTTTTATTTATTTAGTTTCCAGTCAAAATGGCTGTTAAATGCATATTTGATTGTTAGGAAGAAAGCAGAAAACGTATGTATGAAAACAAATTACACAGAAACCCTAACACTAAGTATAACATCAGATCTATTAGTATTTTATTTGTTCACTGTTTTACCTTTTTGTCTTTTTGGCAAATTTCTTTCTTTTGCCCATCTAAAATGGCTGTTAAGTACAAGTTATTCATTTTTCAGGAGATGTTTCTGTGGATATAAGATACATAAGATATAGATAATCCACTTCCATAAGGAAGTAAAAAAGTCAAAGGAAAATGTGAAACATAATTTTCTGAAAGATATTAAAGATATAGAAAAAGTGACACTCCCAACAACCACAATAAGTGTCACCATCAGATAAACAATACTTTAGGCTTTCAGCTTTGAGAGAAAATCAAGCTCCACTTTTCTAAGATTCAGATCTTAAAAAATCCTCAGGTGTTTCTGTCTTACGTTGTGAGAAGAGAACTCAACACTAAGAGCCTGAAAGGATGTGTAGCTGTCAAGAAGCTGTTACTGAGAAAAAGAAATTAACAGAAAAGAGGAGAAGTTGCACTAGAACACCAAAGCTGGACATCTGAGATGTGGAGTAGGGTTTTGTGGACTGATTAGTCTGAATTTGTAATTGGGATTATTTGGATTGTGAGAAGCAGAAAATGCAACCAACTTCTAAGACTGACCTTTGGAGGTGTGAAAAAAGCAGATTTCTTCGAAAAGCTTTGAAAGTTTGAAAAAAAATCGAAGCTGTAGTAAAAGGTGTTTTTTCCCCCGACACTTAACAATAATGGCCTTTATGACTGGAAATTAAATAAATCAAAGGGTGGTCTCTGACTTCTGCCAGTACTTTATATCTTAAATACATTCAGAAATTCTCTCAAAATACAAAAATGTACAAAAAAAAAAAAATACAAAATGGGTTAGCTAGTAGTAATCAGTATCAGTACTTTGTATATTTATAGTATTTTGAGTACTCCAGACTCACTCTGAGTTCGGTCAATATCACTTTTATTGGAACCATTCTGTGCGATGAGGTCTTGCAAGGCCAGTGTGCAAGTTTACAAGGGAAAGCAGGGAATTCCTACATTGTTATTATATGAGTTATTTATTGGAGAAGTTCTTCTGGTTCACCTAAAGTCACCTCCAGAGGAGACCTCACACGCGCAACCAGTGTGAGACAGTTTTTTACGTAGAAGTGAACTTTTCATTCATTAAAGCACTTCTGTAAGGCAATCTGGACATCATCGTCCAAATGCTGTAAATGTAAATTAAAGTGACATATTGAGACACAGGCCACTACCACACCACTATGTTTCCATGGTTTTGTTTTAGATACATATAATTCTATGATATAAAACTAGACTTTTCTTTGATCTGAAAATATGCATGTAATTCATTGTGATCTCATAGTTTTATGATAGTTCATTTCATTATGTCTCATTATAAATGATGTGAAAGATGGTAAAACCTCTCCACCTTTATTGGAGTATATGTCCAGCACATTTGTTCTCTTTCAGATGTGGCCAAATCATTAGAGATAAAAGAAAAGTTTCCACTTGCCCACATCAGTACTAGGCCTGTGGTGTTTTTTCCCCTTAAAGGACGGCTCTTAAACGGGCAGCAAAACTCTGGCTGCAAACTCTGAAGAGCTGCATTGGGTTAAGGCCAAGTTTCAGCTTGAGATGATTTTGTTCATCTTGCCTTCGCGGTATGCACAGGGCTGTGTATGATTTTTGACTTCACTTCATTGATTTTTTTTTCACATGCATGAGTTGCACTGGATTCTTTTCAGCACTGTTAAGTGGCTTGATTGAAAACAGTTGCTTTGGATAACACACAATTTCTTTTCTTGGTACTGTAGTGGAATTCTGTCTTATGCTTGTCTGCAGAGTTCCCAATAAACCTGCACTTTCAGTATGTTCTCTGCTTAATATTTACTCACTTTGTGTCTCCTGTTGCAGTTATTTGTGGATGGGACAGTGACCACGGTGGTGTTAGAAGGTCTGGATCCATTGACTGAGTACGCAGTGAATGTTTACTCTGTGGTTGGGGAGGAAAGCAGTGAGCCACTGAGAGGCACCGAGACCACACGTAAGAGCCAATTTCAAGTCTACCACAAGTGTCTTTTCATAAAAACTGAGCCAAAGCCTCGGTACTGTTCCAATTAAACACGTTAAGTTCCCGTTTAATGGGAACATGGTTATTATTTTTAAGACGTTACAGCAAATTGTAAAGTTTTTACTCTTAAAAATACATCTAATAAAATATCCAATTATTTGAATTAACTTTATCTTTATCTTGCTGTCTGTACTGTGACACTCAGCATTTCTAGCAATTAGAGTGCTTTATTGAGGCTTTCACTCAGATTGCTTATTTTTTTGTTTTTACTTAAAAATGTGATTCATTGTTGATGTAGCAAATCCTTTTAAGCAGCATTGCTTTGACCACAGAACTATTTCGTAGTCCTGGCCTGATGTTCTCTACACTCTTTCCAGTGTACAGTAGCAGAAATTTAATGCTGGATTTGTTTAACTGTTTTGGAAACAAACTATTTTTCCAATAAACTAAGGCCTCATTTGCAGACGATATTAAAATGTGTCCTTGTTTAGATTCTGAGCATGACTAGATGTCCATGGGCAGATGGAAGCGCTCATGGTTGGATTAAACTGCGTCTTTTGTGCCTTTAGAACCACCTCCTGAGGTTGGCCAGGATGCATTTTGGCCTTATTACAAAGTATACATTTCGGAAGCTACTGTCAATTTTCCACTTGAATCACTGGAAAGTTGGAGGGAAAACAAAAATTTGATCATGTTTCTCACAGCAAGGACACATTTGCATGCATTTAAGTGCAAGATATAAATGCATAAGAGATATATAAATGTTTATGTAGACACGGCTTTTCAAAGATGAATAATACCAGCTGTAAATGAGTCCTTAGACATTTGTTAAATTATAGCCTGTATAATATAAGTTAAACAGTACATTAACTCAATTTGAGCCAAACTTTTATTCATAGAAGACAAGGGTTTGCTACAGCACCTTCATAATATTTAGACTAGAAACATGGGTTGAAAAGCTGTGCTGTGGAATGTGTGCATTGCTATTGCTGTATGTGATGTTATGTTTGATACAGCCTAAACATAACCATCATCATTCCCTTCACAGAGCCGTGAATGCCGTGAATGTTATCAGCATGATGCTGCATGGCACAGCAAAGTGTCATCGTTTTATTCATGCCTTCAATGTTTATAATTCATTGCTGTTTGTTTTCATGCACTGTCGTGCAGCCTGTGCAGTTGTTGTTGTTGTTGCCGTATCTATATGGTTTCAGCGTGCGCTGTGTTTGTCTGTCATCATCATCATCATTCATTTCCCATCAATGTGGATGTGTAAAATCGATTGCCATCCATCCATCATCTTCCATGCCTCCATCTTGTCCGTGTTCCCATCATGCCACGCCAGAATGCGTGCATTCATTCATCCGCGCCTCTGCAAGGCTCGAGTTATAGGCAGATAGACAGGAGAAAAGAACTAAAGAAAGAGAGAAAAGACGTATTCCCCTCTGTAGTGCCTCTAAATACTGCGAGGAGCATGACCATCTACAAACAGCGTGCCACCTCCATGAGGGTGAAGTGGGAGCCCGCTGAGGGAGCCACAGGCTACATGGTGCTTTACAAGTCTAAAAATGCCACTGAGCCCACCGATGAGCAGGTACGATCAGTGCTTCAGCTCTCCACTTCAGTGCTGCAACCACTGCAGTGCTGCTGCCCAACATCAGAAACACATCAAAATAGCAATCTGAACAATACCAAAACTAATAGAAGTACAAGGTTCGGTATTCTCTTACAGTCAGATTTTCATTCCATAATAAAAACTATGCAGTGAGGCAGTCCTATCTTCTTAAGACTAGTTGTGAAGAGCAAGATTCAAAATAGCAAGGTTTTAAATTCTCTGTGAAACTGTTCAAGTGAAACTCATTGCCTTTTACTGCAGCCAGCCAAACAGACCTTAAAAGCAAATCTACAATAAAAGGCTCTATGACCATTACTGCAGAGGATTTGCAGAGCCAAATATGGCCAGCTTCACTGACATAGTAAACAGTTGGCAACAATGTTTGAGATTATGTAGATGCCTTCGAACTCCAGTGGACTACAAATCATTTTTGGCTTTTTTGTTGCAAAGAATAAGGCCATGCTAGTGATTTGAATCTTAGAGAAGCCATCATGTGATGAAAAGATGAAGAAAATGATGTTTAGCAGTCAGTGCTGGCATGTATCTGATATACAATGGACATAATCCAGTTTTCCACCCAGGGATTGGGTGTTTAGAAACTGTCCAGTCATTTCAGGTTAGTGAGTGAAAACATGGCAAGGAAATGAGGACTGATCACTCTCAGCCCTGTTCTTTTATACACAGACATACAGTACTGTGCAATGTCAGAGACCACCCCTCAATTATTCCCTCTTCTGTCAGAACAGCCATTAAGCATAGGTTACTCCTTTTTAGTGTCAGGACAAAAAGATGAAAACATACAATTAGCAGAAAATTACACAGAACCCTCAAGAATATTTTTGTAAAAAATATTTAGTATACTATGTCCACCCTTTGTCTTCATTACAGCTTCCATTCTTTCCAGAAGACTTGTTTTCAGTTTTTCAAAGAAATCTGAAGGGATATTTTTCCACACCTTCAAAGTTCAGTCTTAGGACTTGGTTGCATTTTTTGCTTCTCATAATCAACGCAATCCTAAACACATTCCGTGATGTTAAGGTCTGGACTGGAGGTGTGGACAGTCCATTGTTCTGAGAACACTGGGAGCTTTTTGTTTGATTTGCCAATTTTCTTTTTTTTTTTGTCTGTTTCCTTTTCTTAGCAACGGCTTCTTGATAGGTGTTTTGATAGGTGTTGTATCCTTTTAAACCCATCATTTTGATTTGTCTTCTCACATGGAAGTATGGACAGAAACACTTCTGAGAGTGACTGTTTTAGTGGACTATCAGTTCTTACATGGTTGTTAGGAGTCCCATTTTTTCTGTATTTTTCAGTTTTTGAACTTTAGTTTTGGAAATTCCTGTACTTTCTTTTCTTTATGCGAGTGGGTTGTCATATATCAAGTCTCCTCAGAAATATCTCCTGAAAAATTGATAACCATTTTGACACCATTTTGAACGTAGGGTAGTCTCTGACTTTGCATAGTACGCTACATATTTTCCATCTTATGTGTGTATGTACAAACATACCTGTAGGTATTTTAATGAGCTAATAATCATTTGTAGGACACGGTGAATCTAAATTTTTTTCTTTGAGCCTTATAAAATCTTCTTATTTAAAATATTGTTCTTCATTTTGAAAATGTAGCCTTTTTTTTCACGTGTCAAGCTGCATTCTACGAGGACCATAGCACTGCAGGTTTTAGTGAGTAATATACTTAATAAAAACCTATAATCTAATTGCTGGCCTCTCTGTACTGGATCAGGTATGTTTGAGTAAAAGAAGCACTAAACCCTACAGTACTGTGACCCAGTAGAAACGCAGTTTAGCACTCTAAACTGATTCTCCTGGAGTGATCCCACAAGTGCTGTGATAATGCCCATCAGGCTTTGACTGTCGATATGGTTAACTTTCACAGATACGTGTGAAAGCCAAGATCACAGACGTCCAGCTGAAGAACCTCCTCCCCAGCACAGCCTATGCCATCACCGTCTTCGCCATGCACGGCGAGTCGACCAGCGACCCTCTCACTGATGTGGGGGTGACCCGTAGGTGGTGCTAGAGCATGCTACCCCAAGCAGGGATGCTTGACATGGCCTTCAGATTCTCACTGCTTGTTTGTTTGTGTGTTTGTGTTTATCTCTCCCTGATCCGCAGGGCCGCTGCCTCCAGCTGGTGAGCTGAGGATAACAGATGTGACCCACAGCACCATGCTGCTGGACTGGGATGCTGCGCCTGGGCCTGTGCGCAAGTACATTATTACTTACAAACCTGAGGAGGGAGAGGTGAAAGAGGTGAGCTCACCATAAATCATGCTAGCACAGATAACAAGCTCAAGCATTCAAAAGTTTGGAATTACCCATCAGATTATTTTCTGTAGTATCTTCTAAACTAATTACATTAACTTATACAAAACAAACTAGATACCACAATGTGTCTTTAGGTGCTTTATTCAATATTTTGAGGACAGCAAGAAGTTATTAAATGATACATAATACACATGAATTATTAATTTCCAAAAATTTGATAAACCTGCAGTATGTAAGCCTTTTTTGTAAATAATTGCATTGCAATATACATTTCCACCAGAGAGGTCTCCAAATCCCCAAATCTACATAGTGCAGCTTTAGTTTATCTGCTTTGAGATTTGATAACTATTTTTGAAATATTAGGCATTCTGTAGTTTATTAGTAATTCTATAAAATCCAGTCAATTTAGGATAGTCTATAACCGTGTTCAATGTTCTAGAATTCTTTTCAGCTTTCTACTATTTATTTGAAACCTGTGAACACAGGTTAGCATATTACTCTTTATACATCCATCTGCAAACACATGGGTTTTATATTATTGAAAACTTTGATTCCAAACTTTTGAACCGTAGTATATGAGGACGTCACCTGTATGAATTGCACAAAGTCTACTAGTGCTCAGTGGTAACATGCCAGAACTTTGGTTCATGGGGGTAGGCTTATAGCAGACTTATCCACTCTTTGAGGCCAAAGCCATGAAATGTCACCAGTGCACCTATTTACTGACTTAGTACTTCTTGCTGGGTCATGGCTCTATCAGTGCTTCATCTGGAAAGATCTTTGTCTGTTAGTGCAATACACCAGCCGTATGACCAAAGAAGGAGACGCTTGTTGATGGATACGAATCCTTTAACTTATCGCCCCAACAAACGGGTTACACAACCCAATGGAAGCAGCAGCTGCAGAAGGACTATGCAGCAGATCTCCAGGGTCTTTGTTTTTGGAGTGAAAGACAGGGACAAAGAAGAGATTATGCTACCAGCAGAAAATGGAGAGAGCAGATGCCATGAGGATGGAAGCTTGTGGATTTTTGAGTGGCATGCAGCAGCAACCCTGTCAATCCCATGCTTTTGGATGTGCATTTTATTGCTGGATCTTTATTTTTTGTTTTGCAGAGCTGGCCGGGTCAGCCCTGGCCAGAGAAGCGCTACATCCTGAGACATAAATCTAAGCACTGTGCTGCTCGTAACTCTTAGTGCTGGGACAAAAGATGAAGTAAACACCCCCACACAGGCTGAGGCACAGGTGGACTGGGTCCTGAGAAAGCACCATCAACCTATAAACAGGAGCAGCTCCTCTTACCTGATAAATGATAGAACACAATCGCATCAAGAGCTCAAGCCTAGTTATGCAAGAACAGGAAGTGCTTTTTCACCCTCAGGCTTCAGAATAAGTTTCTTAGAAGCATTCCTGCCAAGTTTTTGTCTGAGTCTGAAAGGCCGTTACAAATTCACTGGCATGGGATGACCACGTGTGCACAAGTCAAGACATAGATTTCATTAACTGCAAAGGCTTGAATGTGAGCCCACACTTCAGTTCCCCACTACATAATGTAAAAACAGTTTGATAGAAGTTACCGACCAATTATAGCAGTTACTGAGTAATTATCATTCTTACATTTGAAAACGCAATAAGCCTTAAGTTAAAAGGGTTGAAGGGCCCATACATTTTTTGTTTAATTTCTTTCCAAAAACAGTCATAATTCATTTCTCCATGAGCATTTCCACCCTTTGTTTGTCCCTTAGAGTGGACAGGCTAAACAAACTGCATTAACGTTAGCTCTTATTGGCTGCCTATACACTGCATTTAAAAACAAAACTCATAACGATGACATTAATGAGTGATGCTAAATTGCTGTAGGCTGAATTGGCTGACATATGTAATATGAGTGTTAAGATACATGTGTTGTTTTTTGTGACATTACAAAAACAATGAATTCAAAAAGCGTTATTTTTCCAGCCTGATTTCCATATTTCGACTGTATGAATTGGGGACTGAATGGTACATTTTGAGAATTTATTGATATTTGCACAATATACTAAACACTTTCATAAATCAATCAATCAATCAATCAATCAATAAGTAAATAAGTAAATACAGTTATCTATGATATGGGTCCTTAAAGAATTCTCTGTTTCTCTAATGGAAGTGCTTGTAGCAAATAAAATGATTGCTCATCTTTTCAGCTTTAAATTTGTTTTTGTGTAGCTTGAAGTGAATATGGACGTGACAACAACAGTCCTAGATAACCTCAAGTCACAGACTGAATATGATGTGGCCGTCACTCCAGTGTATGACTCTGGAACTGGCAATTCAATGCTCAACCAAGCTACCACAGGTAAATGCACTGTAAAAAATTATATTTTAGTAAGGGAAAACATCTTAAATCTAAACAATACAACTAATATTTTTCATTAATGGTTGTAAGAGTATTTTATTATTATTAACCCTATTTCTAGATTTTTTCCTTATTTTAAGTAAGTTTATCTAGGGAAATTGTCTTAGTGGCAGAGAACTGAGAAATAGAAGAAATAGTGCTCAAAGCAAGCACAATTATTTGGCAATTAGAGATGTATCTGGAACCCTTTCACTTGATATAGTTATTTAAAACAAGAAGAAAAGTTCCAGAAATACATTAAATCATCTTCTAATATTCCTCAACAGTCATAAAATGAAAAATAGTGGATATATCAACTGAATTTAAGCCAAGATGTAGTTTTTTGGATTGAGTTATACCAGTGTGACTTTACACAATACCATATTACAACTGAAAATAATTACTTGAAGTGAGAAGATTAAATCTCAAGTTCCTGATAAATTAGTTCTCTTTTCAGTAAATATGATGATACACTTTTAGAGAATTTTTATATGGCATCTTCTTGACCTATTTGTAAACAAATATTCTTCATTGTCCTCAACTTTGTAGATGTTGTCCCAGCTCCAAAGAATTTACGGTTCACTGAGGTGACCCAGACCAGCTTCAGGGCGCACTGGGAGCATGGTGCCCCTGATGTGGCCCTCTACCGCATTGGCTGGACCAAGTCCGGAGAGCGCAACTACGTATATGTACGGGCCCTAAATGAGAGAAACTTAATGATAATAACTCTGTGAATGCTATTTGATGTCTTACATTTTCTTATTGTTTCTCCCAGGACATCCTGAGCAGTGATGAGACCACTCATCTCTTGGAGAACCTAGAGCCAGACACCCTGTATGATGTTTCTGTTACTGCAATTTATCCGGATGAATCGGAGAGCGAGGATCTTATCGGAAGCCAGCGCACATGTAAGACAAGTCCAGTTAGTTTAAAAAGTCTAGGTCAATTTTTTTACATTACATAAGAGGAAATATACATAAAATATGTATAAATAATGTATATTTAGGTGCCACAAGCATTTGTGTTGTGAAAGACTTTGTGTGTGGTGTTCTTGTGAAAAAAGGAAAGCTTTATAGGGGAAAAAAACGCAAGTCAAGCTGGAATTTTAACAAGCGTTCTCTTTTTCTCTCATCTCCGGCTCCTGCAGTATCCAAGATAGTAATTACACCTCGTGAGTATTTTGATCTTATTCACTGAACATAAGGCAAAGCTGTGATTATCATAAGAAGTACAGGATCAAATCTGACTCCTCTCCTCTGTAGCTCCCAGTGGTCCCCCTCAGAACCTGCAGGTGTACAACGCCACTACCACCTCCCTCACGGTGAAATGGGATCATGCCCCAGGCCGAGTGCAGAATTACAGGATCACATACGTGCCTGTGGCAGGAGGCAGGAGTCAATCGGTAAATCACTTAATAAATCATCTTTTGTGTGTTCTTGCAGGAAGGTTATAAAGAGGAATTACCCTAAAACAATATAAAGCCATTTATTCATTTATAAATGAAAGTTATTAATTTCCAGTCAAAACATGCATTAGGTACAGTGTATATGAATATATGTACAATACTGTGCAAAAGTCTTAGTCACCTGAAGTTTGGTCCCAGAGTTCTCCTCGACACCCCAAGCCATTGCATGGAGTTGTTTGAATCCATCAGCACACCTGATTTAATTTGATTAGCCAAACCAGGTACTTTATGAGAACTACAAATAATACTGGGCTTCCTTGAGGAATGGTTTGGAAATGGTTAAATAAAAATCATGACATACATAAAATCAGCACTTTTTGTATTAATTGCAGTCATGAAAATTGCTTAAAACAATTAAAATGACCAGCACTCTGAGTTTTTAATTATAATGAGAATACCACATATAACATTAGAATAAATAGAAATAAACATAAATATTGTAGAAAATAACATGATTTTTGTTTTTTAAAATATTTCTATCTTGATTAGGAGAGATGAAAAGGATTAAAGTTTTGTTGAGTGCAATAGCCATACAAACATTTAGGCCCCTTGTTCTTACACCGAAAAAAAATTGGAATGGCATTCATTTGCATGTAATTATGATTTCACCATACTCCTCCTCAATGATAAAATGTTTCAGTCTTTCCATTCTGTATACTTTTCTACACTTAGTGTTTTAGCTGAGGCCAAATAGTTCTGAACTTGTGATTGCTTAAACTCAACCAATTAGTGTTCAAATGCATATGTTTCTACTTTTCCCTATGTTCTGTACATTTTCACCGAATGATCCAGAATTTCCATGGAGTTTGAAATGGAAGGGGTTTTACATTGAGAGGAAAGCCATTTTGTCAAGATAGAAATCAGTCGGTTGGAGCCACAAACCAGCAAAATGTTGAGACATTGCTGGAAAGCTGGAAGAAAAGAAGCAGAAGCCTGCCAAGGTTTCTTGTCCTTCCAGTCTTTCACCAAATATTAGGAGCAATGGGAATCATACTTTCTTCACACACACCACACATCATGTGAGGAAAATCTGATTAGCATTAGAACTGGAAGGGCTTGACAGCATGTCTGAGTAAGTGTGCCAGACTTTGCTGATAAGACCAAATTCAATTGCTTTAAAAGATGGATCAACATTTGTGCTTCTGTTAAACACGGGGTTTTACATCGAAGAATCAAAACGGCCAGACGATCTAGTTGTTTTGGGCAGACTAATAGACTAACAGAAATGCCATACAGTGTGATTAACTATATTAAGTCAAGACACTGGTTGGACCAGAAGTCTGCGGGAGGGGACATCTCCAGGAGCAGGCTTGCACTGCTTTAAACTATTGCACTGCTTTAAATTATCAGTGGCTTTTTACTTGGCTTACTACTGACCAAATGTCTTATCTGAAAAAGAAACATTCTGCATTATTCAACCAGAGAACTGTGTAAACAAGGTCTTTTCCCATTCATTTGTCTTAGTGTTTCATAGAGTTTTACTACAAATTCAACATATTACCTATCAAGAGTAGAAACATGATTAAACAGCAGGCTGACCTCAGAGCTGATTTAAGCTGTGACTGTCACAGTCACTCAGTCTGTGGAGAATTGACAGACAGACGTGTAATCAGCTCTTTGCGCGGGTTATGGTTTATTTGTTGCTAAGCTATCAGAAATGCAGAGGAGTAATGGTTGGCCTTAAGACTACAGCTGATAAGAGAAGAGAATTCTCCTGCTGTCTTCTCAACTCAACATTTATCTCAGCAGAGCAACCCACTTATAAACAAACTCACTGTCGTCTGAGAGCATGCTTTTTTTCATGTGGCTGTTGTCCTTCTCCCATGCAGACTCAGATTGGTGGGAAAAAGAATACAATCACTCTGCAGAAGCTGACCCCCGACACCCCCTACTTCATCACTGTGGCTGCCATATATCCAACTGGAGATGCCAAGGACATATCTGGTCAAGGAAAAACATGTACGTCACCTGCATCTTCCTATTCGCAGCTCTTCATGTCTATTGTGCAATCCTGTTAAAAGAAAATTCCACCGATTTTTTTCATGTTATTTCAGGTCTTAATAGTAGTTATGAAACAGTTAGTTCCAGTAACGTCTGATTGACTGGCATTCTCTCCGTGTTGTTATTTTTGGTAACAGCACTTTTTTCCCCACTATATCTGTATCATCCTACTAACCATCAGGTGTTAAGTAACAACAATGGTGGGCTTTTTTGCTTTACTTTTTTCTTTACTTCAGTTGAAGCAATCAAAATATTTCTTCACTACTTCAATCGAACACTTGGGGTTGTGTGTCCCTGCAAATAACATCACTGGCGATAAAACTCTCCCTCTTGCCTTCTGTTGCTTAAATAAAGGATAAAATGTAACTATAATAGGTGTATTTACACAAGCTGAATTAGAACTGACCTTTTTGAACACCTATTTTTCTAGTGCCTCTTGGAGGAGTGCGAAACCTTCGAGTCACTGACCCAACCACGAGCACTCTGAACGTACAGTGGGATCCAGCTGAGGGCAATGTTCGCCAGTACAGAATCTACTATCAGGCTGCTCCAGGAGGCCCAGAGGACATGGTATAAAAGCCCACACAAACGACCTCCTATTAACTCAACTACATTTGAAAAGCTTAAGCTTTTGTGTTAGTCTAATGGCAAACCAACCAGTCCAAACCACCTATTCATAGTGTTACTGTCACAAATAGCTTTCAGCACCTTGAAGAAATTAGCAAATGCATATGCAAAAGTGACCATGAACTCTACTGGTTTCTCTTTTTTTCAGGTTCAAGTCCCTGGAAACACTATGAACACTGTATTGAAGAATCTTCAATCTGACACTGTGTATGCGGTCACTGTGGTGCCAGTGTATGCAGCTGGAGAGGGCAAACGCATGACTGAGAATGGAAAGACATGTGAGTCAAAAAGCTTTCCTAGTGTATTCACACATTTTTCAACGTATGAAGTGTGTATATTCAACACAAGTGTAGAAGCAACCAGAGAGATTTTTAAAGGTTCAGAAATATATGACACGTTTCAGCCAGTTTGCAAGGATATAGTCTTAATCTAACATATATGGGATAAAGCTTTTATAGTACAAACTACTAATTTGACTTATTCAATGCACCTCATTGAGTACATCTTAATAAAGATGCCTTGAGCATCTGGATGTGTCCACATGCATAAAACATCTGTAAGCATGTAAACATCCAATTGATAAATATTTATATAATTAAATTAAATACTAAGGGGATTTACCTAAGCTGAAGGATATACTGAAGCACATTGCATTAAACCTCTTAACTGCTGTTTTATGCTGAATTGTTAGTTACACTTCATAACATATACATAAGCATTTAATAGCATATTTATAAAGCAATAATTGAGTATTTATCAACAGCTGATGTAATCGTAAGATGACATAAAATGTTACATGAAGTAAATGACATTGTATTCCCTTAAACTAAAGTAATGGACATTTGTTCTATTTGTAACACTGCTAATGAAACATCATTTCCAAGTAACGGCGCTTAAACAAGGCCTGGCAGAGGCCTTAATCAAAACACTAAATACCTTTATGTCACCCTTATGTCAGCCCCTTAAAATGCCAGGCTTATTACTTCATAAAACATCTTATATCATTGTGCGATTAAGGGCATAAGCTCATAAATAAATACTCAAGTATTGCTTCCATACATAATTCAAAACATATGCATGAGTTATAAAGTCTTAATGCAGGAAGCCTTCAAATAAAGTGTTATGTAATTGTTTTCTTTATTTTTTCACTGGTTACCACAGTGACAGAGTTAAATGCATTAAGACAACTTTATTCAGGCCTACGCCAGTGCGACATAACATTTGCACACAAGAAAAAAAAAAGGAAAACCCTAATTGATCAGAGTAAGAAAGCAACATCTTGATAGAACGGTAGATGGACCTTTTGTTCTATGTTAATAAACATAATAATTGTCCATTATCACTTGGACAAATATAATGCTTATGCTATGCTTATTTTTACAAATTTAGTGCCCCTACAGATCTTTTGCCATGTTTTGTGTGTATATACTTTTAGCTAGATGTTAGATAGACATTTAGCTTTTGGGTGTTAGGCTTTGTTCTTCATGGTAGCGAAGTGCAGCTGTTCATTCAGGTCATAAATAAAGCCTCTTAAGCTTTACCCCACAGAGAGTCAGCTTTACAGGATTGATCAGTAGGGGAGGACTGCCGATGTGTTGGCAGCTCCATAAATGTGTCTACAGACTGGGCTTAATGAGGCCCAGTTTATGGGCTGTAATGTAGTGGAGTTGCAGGGGTTCAGGGGATCCATGAGTAATCTCCTTCCCTAAATGGAAAACCCTGGGAGATGCAAAGACATAAAAGGCATTCTTTCAGTGACTTTCAAACCAGTGCCCCTCATTCCAACAGGTTTATAATGTTCAGCATTGTTTCCCGTCGCTCAGTTACGTTGTAGTTGGGTTTCCCATAATATGCATTACTTTATTACCGTATGTCCTTTGAATTTGTGTAACAGAAGCGGCACTGTTGTAGGTTTTTAACACAAGCAGCTGAGAGTTACATATTGGAAAGACCTCATTTACATAATCGTTAACAAAGTCAGCTAAACACAATATAACACAATACACAAAAAACTCACTGAAATTCATTTACTGTCATGTTTTCAAGGTTATTATTGTTGTTCAACTTTTGAGAATATTATGTTTCCCTGTATCATACTAGTACTTGTGCTTTGTGTTTTTAAAAGCTGTGATGTGGTTGCCACTCTTCATCACTCCCCTTCTTAATATAGTCAACCTGCTGAATATTACAGGGACCCATTTGCTTTGGATTAAAAGTTCAGAAAGCTTGTCTGGTTCCCATTGTAGTGTCTTTTTTCAAACATTTTTTGCTCTGTGCTAGAGATCTGTCCTCATAACAGTGGCTTCTTTGGTTGCAAGGTGTTTTAAATCAGCCTCAAGTCTACTCATGTTTTCAAACAATTACGTTCACAGCTGCGAATGCCGAATGCAAGCCCTACTAGCATCAGTTTATATTATTCTCAGTCAAGAAAGCTGAGCTTAGGTCCCATTAAGTGATGCAGAAAGTTATTTCCCTCTTCAGTCCCTTACTTTTTTCCTCTTTCTCTCTTTTTATGACACCCCTTCCCCCCTTCCACATAGTGGTGCGCACCCCTCCCAGGAACATCAGGGTTTATAACCCTACCTCAAACAGCCTGAATGTGCGCTGGGAGCCTGCATCAGGTGATGTGCAGCAGTACAGGGTCGTCTATGCTCCACTCACTGGAACCCGCCCGTCCCAATCTGTGAGTTTCACTGCATCATTAACCCTGTCTTTCCTATGTCCTGTCATTGATACATTTAGAGACTTTAACAATGCCTCCCTTAACTCTTTACAATCAGCAGCTCTAACACAACCATGTCCATGTTTGGCATAGAACAATGTATCAGCATGTGGAATTGGAGCTTTCCGTGTTTTCTATTGATGTATAAAAGAAGCACAATGCTGCATTTATTGTGAATTGCACCGCATGTGCACACATTTAAAAAGAATTCAGATCAATAAGGACTTATTATTGATTTGTTTCATTAGGGTAACAATAAAAGAAAAATAAAATATATTTCTTTTCATGTGTTTGCTTGCTCTAAAAGGTCATTTTGAGACAAAAAAACCTACAGATTGTTTAGATCATGTTCTTTACATTTCAAAATAAATGCAACAAAAACTTTGAGAAATCGTGTTATAAAATTAGAAGATGCTGACTTAGTTTCTGCATTAGCATTAAAGGGTTACATGCATATGGTTTACAGTGCAGGGCTGGAGCAGCAAAAGTTTCTCTATGCAGATTAAAGACTAATAGATTAGGGATGCCCCATTCTGGTCCTGGAGGTCCAGGCACAGTTTGGACATTTCCTTGCTCAAATGCACTTACACAACCTGCTTTCTAACTGCTGAGTTGAATCAGGTGTGTTTAAGCAGGAAAATAACCAACTTGTGATCAGAACTAGGCACCCCACCCTACTTTAGACAGTTTTGTGTATGTTGTGTCAGATATCTGGCCATGATCTATTAGCAGACTTACACTAATGTGATTGGAATTGTTTGTGTTTATTGCTTGTCATCACATTTTCTCATAACCTCTATATCAGATGAGAAGGAGACTAAAAGCCCTATTAAACGATTTCATTCGCCTTACATGTGAACATGAACATCCACATCTGTGAGAAATAGTGTGGGTGTGAGTGCAAAACTGTTTTATTAGAGAGTCTGGCGAATAAAAGATTTGTTCCACTTTTATTAACACTTGTGCTCTCTTATCCGTAGCCATGGCATTTTTATTCCTTTTAGAGGAGAACTGTTATGCATGTAGGACTTGGTTTTTCCAATGTTTTAGCCAGTTTCCCGTTTCCATTGAATGTGGCAAGGGTCACCTAAGGCTGACAAATCTAGCCTTCAGAAATTTTGCACAAACTGTCGTCCCTGAGGCGTTCTTTCTACAACAAATGGACCTGTTTCGAATCAAAGGAATTGAGGACACCCAAGCCTTTGTACTAAATAAACATGATGATAGGAAATCTGCCAAAAATAATGAAAAGCATTAAAGACTTAAAGATCAGTTTTATAAAATTGATGAGTCAGTGGACTGGAAGCTTCAGTCGATGCCAGCTTGCCCTGCGCGTTGCGGGCTTTTATTTCATGTGTGATGTCAGAACTCAGCAGAAAGAGGGGAAGATAGAATCAGCTGATTCCCTTTCATCGGTGAGAGAGTCACTGGTACTGAGTTGTATTTCACAGGCACTGCTGGTGAACATTTTGGCTGAATGTTGAGGCTGTTGTAAGCAACAGAACTCAGTGTTAGACCAACAGCTGCTGCTTTTTGCTTCTCAAGATATGTCAAGAATAACATGACTGGCTGTTGGTTGCCAGTTAGATTAGCAGTATTGCCAAAAATAAAGGTGCCAAAAAGGGTTCTTTGGAGTGATGCTGTAGGAGAACCACTTTTTACTCCCTAAAGAGCTGGTTCTTTAGAATGGTTCTTTAAAGAACCATTTTTGTAAATGAGATGTGTGAGTCTGAAGAACATTTTTTAAGTTTAAAGAACCACATAATGGAAAGTGTCTTCCTAGAACCGTACAGCTAAGCTGAGAACCATTTAGGTTTACCTTTACTCCCAAAAGTACAGAGCAGGTTAGCTCAGAAATGCTCTATATTCCTTCTGCAAAGTTCTTCTGTGGACTTGAAAGGAATGTGATGGCGAGCATTAAATAAGGCAATGTTTGCTCTATCTTGGTAAAACGGGTATTAGGAATGATTTGATTAGTCATTTCATTTCTAAGGTGTAATCTTTGGATGGCTAGTGGCTCCAGATGTTGTGAGGTAGTGTTAGCGCAACCAGAAATATTTTTTTAAATACAAAATGCTTCATGAGAGACCATGAGAAAATGTAATAGACACAAGTGTATACTTAACAGTAACAAAACCTTTTCTTCCTTTTTTGGTAAGCTTTTACTCTTTTCTGTTGGATTTCTAATTCGGTAAGTGTGGTCAAACTTCAGTTCAGTTGCATTTATTGAGTTGCATTTATTTATCCTTTTTATGTTTTGGTCAAATGTTTTTATTCAGTTATGCAAAATTAAAAATGAAAATTGAACATATGAACTGTTAAAATAAATAAATTATATATTTATGTAATAATAATAATAATAATAATAATAATAGCAATCTAGGCATATCATTCTTCCTGTAATCTGAGAAGTTCTCCTATATAGCAAACAAGTCCTTCAACTCTCCTTTTAAAGCAAAAATCATCTTAGACAATTCTTTCATTCAGATATTAATGGAGGGCTTCTTTGTACCTTTTCCTAAGATAGATGACAATATATTGTGCTTGTAAGACACAAAAACATCATGCAATGTGTGTTTTTACATGCTAGAATTTGCCTTATCAGCAAAGGGTTTTTTGTCATCCTACAGGTCCTCGTTCCAGGGAACACTCACGACACCATGTTGGAGCAGCTAGTGCCGGACACTGATTACTCAGTGGGGGTGGTTGCTATCTATGCTGATGGAGAGGGTGCAGCAGTCAATGATAATGGCAAAACATGTATGTCCTGATCCTTGCGTGTTAATACAGTGATCCTAAAAGCTTCCAACCACTGATTGACTGTTTATTGGATGACTTTAATGACTTTATTTATGGCTGCTGATTGTAGTGCCCCGCAGCGGACCCAGGAACATGCGTGTGTATGACCCCACTACCAACACTCTGACTGTTAGCTGGGAGCATGCAGCAGGGCCTGTGCAGCAGTACCGGATCAGCTACGCACCAACCACTGGAGACCCCATCGAGGAATATGTAAGTGGGAAAATGAATAGTCATATCTGCAGTCCACAAATAAACAGCTCTTGATCTTGATTTAGTTAATGTAGCTCTAATTTATATTATAAATTCTAAAACCTCTCACTGTGATTTATGAACATGGAAAGTTGAGTGTAATTTAGTACAATTTGGATAATTCTCTTGTGCCTGTTTTTAATTTCCAAAAGACAAGTGTTCCTGGCAACAGAAACAACATCATCTTACAGAACCTTCAGCCAGATACGCCTTACAGAATCACCGTGGCGGCTATGTACCCAGATGGAGCTGGAGGAGAGCTTTCTGGAGACGGACACACATGTAAGCACACCTGAATACATAAACGCACACACTCAGACTGGTGTATTTAGGTGAAGTCATGCTGTGCACACATATAAACCCATAATGCACATGTAAATAAACATAACCTGGAAGCTTCCATTTGAGAGCTGGGATAGACACAATAAATCTTGAACATCAGATTGAATTACAGTAAAAAAATAAATTCTCATCCTTTGGGAAGACAACTGTCTGCCAGACAGTCAGAAATGGCTGTTCCCCAAAGCAGAGTCTTTGCTTAATGTCTCCAGCCATGACTCCTGACCTGAAGACAAAGCCTGCACACAAATAAAGCAATTACACACAGCCCAGAAACAAAAATGACAATAATCCTTGAGACTCAACAGTCCCCTATTACGTCCAGACATTTTTTTTTAGTTGTTTGACTTGGCCTGTTTTAGTAATAACCAATAAACAGTAAGCAATGCAAAGCTATTGTAAAACAGCAGCAAAACAAAAATACACCAATGCTCAATAAATAATTTTGTGCATTATTAATAAGAATCACTGTAAACAGTTCTTCCACCAGGCAGTATAGTTCGTTAACGGTAGGTTGTTTGTAAAGCAACATAACGGTTGAAGTGAATCCATGGACGGCACATTGATTTTAATAACTTGCCACACTAATATGTAATCCAGTTTATGTGTTTGGCGTTAGAGTGGCCCCAAACAGTATATAGACATTGTGTCGTACTCAAACAAGTTCATTTTGTTAAGAAACAAAATGACAAACCAAGCGACATTTATTTTGAACAGAGCATTCCAAGAGTGTAATTTTACTTTTTGGCCAAGTATTCTTTCAAAAAGTGGATGGTAAGTTCCAGATGATCCAGTTGTCATCATTTGTCTTTGTGTACTTCTAAATTCATGACCCCGTCAGTGAACATAAGCTCATCGACACCACTGTAAAGCCCTGTTTGAGCTGGATTATCCTTATGAGGTACTGTAATTTGAATGTTTTTCGGTGAGATCTGTATGCATCTGTCCTTTTCATAGTTATATAAGTCATATAAGTCTGCTGAGTAACAATTCTCGAGCAAATTACCTTCTCTAATTCGTCAAAGTCTGAGCTCCTTCAGTAGTCCTGTTTGAATCAATCTTATAGGAGTCCTGTTTGAATCGACTTTACGGTAACGGCATCTCTGTTTTTTGGTGACCAGGTGATGCTGACCGGCAATGAGCTGATGGCACAGTTTCTTTATCTTCATGTACAAAACAGGACTACTGTAGTTTACAACAATTCTGGTGATAGGCTAATTAGAAGGAGAATGATTTTAAATACCTGAAGGTACCATTTGTTAAATAAGCCTTCTTTACTAGCTAATGCTATTCTTACCATTATTAAGCAGACATTTGTTTGTTTGGATCTGTTTAATTTTAATCTTATTGCTGAAGTGAACATTCAGTCTATGAGGTTTGATGCGTAATTTGGAAAGATTAAACAAATATTTTATCCCATACAAATTGGTCAGTTGAATCCCTTACAAATTATATTGACGGACCTCCTCCGAACTAATCCAGCTCAAAAAGCGCTTAAGAAAAACAGCTCCAGATGTTTACAGTACTCTTAATGCAGTCGGATTGGAATTCTTCTCCAGGCTTTCTCCACACAAGGAGTTTACAATCAGTTTGATGTTGTGCTAAAAGTGTTTCATTAAAGATTACCAACACTACCAACACAAGTCCAAATACCTTTTGGGGCCACTATATGTGTGTGTTTGAACATGGTTTAGACAGTCCGATTGTACAACTGTAATTAACTGGAACTATGTTATTAGGATTTTATAACATGTTCATGTTGCATTGTTAATCTGGATCTTGTCTGTCTTTTTCTTAGTGGGGCTCCTGGGCCCACGTAACCTGCGCGTGTCAGATGAGTGGTACACTCGATTCCGTGTGTCCTGGGACCCTGCACCTGCAAGGGTCAATGGCTATAAGCTAGCCTATGCAGTGGAGGGTGAGCTAAATTTTGTACATTGCACACAGTTCATTCTTAGTTACATCTAATGTAGCAGCTAAAGCATGTGACCAATTGTGTGTTACAGGCACTGATCAGTTCACAGAGGTGTTTGTTGGAGACGTGACCACCCATATCCTGCACAATCTCCAGCCTGGCACCACATATGATGTGAAAGTTTTCGCCCAGTATGATGCTGGCCCAAGTGGACCACTTGTTGACCAAGGAACTACCTGTATGTGCACATTAAATTACAGTTCCCTTTATCATGCTGAATTTGGTTTATAGTATATTTTTGAAGTGAAGGAGCACACTTAAGAACTTTCTCTCACTTTTTTTAAAGAATATAAACACTTTTCACTGCCTCTCAACATCTTTTCTTTCCACTCAGTGTACCTGAATGTTACTGATCTCACAACATACAACGTCGGCTATGACACATTCTGCCTGAAGTGGACTCCGCATCGAGCTGCTACCTCTTACAGACTTAAAGTCAACCCCTTTGACCGTAAGTTGAATACATTGGGGGAAAAAAAATGGTCAAAGCTGCATGAATCCACAAATCTTGTGTTGAGTCTTTGAATTTTACATTTTATTGGTGCAACCTGATATATTTCAATATTTTTGTTTTTTCTTTTCATGTAATCTTTTGCTCTTTCTTCTTGTTATTGCCAGCCTCTAAACGCGGAGCCCAGGAGGTCACCATCACGGCTGCAGAGAGCCAGTACTGTTTTGATGGGCTGACCCCGGATGCGCTGTACAATGCAACAGTTTACACTCAGACACCGAACATGGAGGGACCTGGAGTCAGCACCAAAGAGCGCACTCGTAAGTGAACTTCAATAAGCATTTAACCATGCTATTCTACAGCACCTCTATTGACTGCGTGGTTTTCTTTTAGTGGTGAAGCCCACTGTAGCCCCCACGGAGCCACCCACGCCTCCTCCTCCTCCTACCATCCCTGCTGCCCTTGAGGGTGAGGATTGCTGTTACATTTCTAAATGAGCTTATTGTATGACAAGTTTCTTGTTGTGCTGCATTGAAAATTCTTATTCAACACAGTGTGCAAAGGTGAATGTTCTTACTGAATGTTCTCATTCAACACAGTGTGCAAAGGTGCTAAAGCTGACCTAGTTTTCCTCATTGATGGGTCTTGGAGTATCGGAGATGAGAGCTTCCATAAAGTGCTCCAGTTCGTTTTCAGCATGATTGGAGCTTTTGATGTCATCAATCATGAGGGCATGCAGGTAATTGAGCTGTCAGCAACTTCATAATTAACGTGCGCACAGAATTCTTTTCCGCCTCGCTGAGTGCTGTCCAAGCTCTGCGTGGAAAACTTCTGAACTTTTTCTCTTTTGGAAAACAGGTGTCCTTTGTGCAGTACAGTGATGATGCCAAGACAGAGTTCAAACTGAACACATATCATGACAAGGGAATGGCTCTGTCTGCTGTGCGGATGGTCAACTACAGAGGAGGAAACACCAAAACAGGTTATTGTCTGTGCTAACCATTCATCTCAGAGAATAACGCTTTCATCAGATGTCATATAATGATACTGAATTGACTGAGGAATGAATTTTGAATGATTTGGAGATTACATAGAGGTTAAAGGTAATAGATCACAGCAATACTTCTGCTTTGATGGGATGCCATGCAATATCCCATTCATGCAGCAGTGTTAAGAATAACTTTCAGTGTTGTGGACCATGACTTATTACTTGGAGTAAACATGTTTGTAAAAAGCTTTATGTAGTTTGTAAAGAACTGCTTTATGGCGCTTGAACATTTCAGGAGCTGCTCTGAAGCATGTTGGAGAAAAGGTCTTCACCTCAGACAGTGGCATGAGAAGGAATGTTCCAAAGGTTCTGGTTGTTGTCACTGATGGACGTTCTCAGGATGATGTTAAGAAGAGTGCTTCTAAACTGCAGCATTCAGGTGATAAAGATATGTTTTTTAAGGTGCTCAAAGGCATGTTCAGTGTGCACATTCAGAGATATGATTAGTCTCTAAACATTATATCTTCTCTCTCCAGGATACAGCGTGTTCGTTGTGGGGGTTGCTGATGTGGACATGGTGGAGTTGAGGAACATTGGCAGCAAGCCCAGCGAGAGACATGTCTTTGTTGTTGATGACTATGACGCTTTTGCAAAGATACAAGACAACCTCATTACATTCATCTGTGAAACAGCAACATCAAGTATGATGCTCTTCTTACATGTTTTCTCTTCTTACATTTATTGTCTTGTTGAAAAGAGATTGGAACTGACAGTGGTGTTTTGTATATTCTTTTACCTCCTGCAGCATGTCCTCTGATTTACCTGGATGGATTCACATCACCAGGTCAGTCTTGATCAATATAGTCAGACATTATGCACGGCTGATAATTGAGCAACATAACACGAGAAGGAGTAGTTTATCACGAATAACATAACAAGCTTGAGTGTTCTATTGCTTTTAAACAAAACTTCTACAAAATAATGCAAAAGGTAAAGCAAAAAAGCCCTGAATATTACATCAAGCTGTGCTTCAATACTGTCAGTTTCTTTCATCAAAAATGTAGTAGCCTTTTGCTGTATGAATAGAGCCACAAAACTGATGTAATATTGGGTTCAGCTCAGCTTTTTCAATATTTGCCAGATTAACCTGAACCTGTTGTTTTTTTTTCCAGTCACTTTGTTATCTGAATTATATTCTGTTAATTTCTGGCTAATTCTGGTTTGTTGAGTTGTTTCCCCATCATAGCTGTTGTTGGAAAAGCTTGTTTTGTGGCAATGACACATTCACAATTTGATGACCAAATAGGCTGCATGTAGAGTATTCTTTTATTAAAGTTATGCAATGTATTCATTTTCACTTTTGTATGTGCTAAGTAGCAATAGTTAGCTGCCTTAGCAGTAGATTACATTAAAATGCTTAATATTTTAGATCTGTAACATTCGACTTGCTGGACTTTAGGTAGCAAACTACTCCATCCAACAACAACATAGTATATATACATAGTATATATACATAACACATGTATATATATGTATATATGTGTATATATGTATATATATATATATATATATATATATATATATATATATATGTGTGTCTTTTGTACTCTAATGCAAGTTTAGTGACTTGTATTCTGCCATTGTTATGTTACTGTATCTAGGCTTTAGAATGCTTGAGGCCTTCAACATCACTGACCGGACCTTCGCCGGTTTGAATGGAGTGTCAATGGAAGCAGGCTCCTTCAACAGTTTCATCACCTACCGACTTCATAAGGATGCATTCATCTCTCAGCCCACAAAGTAGGTTGGAGTGTACATTCTCCTTCTCTTCTCTGAGCACTCAGGTCCCCTACAGATCATAATGGTTCCCAAGTGATTGCAGTTATTTTTAATGATCTTTGAAGGTTTCGCCTGTTTGTGGCCTCTTTGGTGCACTTTTTCTGAATGCAGCACAGGCCCTGTTTGCAGCTTGTGGAAATTGAGGTGCTAGGTGAAGAAAATAGTTGTTGTGTATATAAAACGTTCTCAAGATCAGCCATGCCGCATATATCAATGTGGGGTCAGCCTGAGGTCAGGAAGTATAGTTTATAGAGGCTGTTAAAATGTCTTCATTGCAGTTCTAAAGCCACTCGACAGATTTGTCCAAAGGTCTCTGGCCAGAGCACGATCCGTTAATTTGTCCATAGCGATTGGTATTTGTGTGTGGGTAGACGACTGTGCAAATGGAAATGTTTCTAGCAGCAGAGGATACAGGGGAAAATACTTTCAGTGTGTTGCAATTTCTTAAGGCTGAGGCATTTTTTTCTCTCTTAGCTGGAAGATAGTTTGGGAGTCTTTCTCCATTCTCCACACTCAGCTTTTTGTCTGGTTTGCTACCACAAGAGATCAGGCATCATGTAATCTCCTATTCTCACTTAACATTCAGCAGACGCTGGAACATTCCCTAGCAGTTTGCACTGCATAAGTCTGTCGTACTCTGTTCACCAGTTTTGACTTGACAATAGCAGTACTGTTGGGTAGATGCAACTAGATGCAGATGGTTTTTGTATTTTTTAATGCATTTAAAGGGGCCCATCTGATGGAAAAGTGAATTTTCCCCACTTTTTGAATAATGGTTTGATGTAGTATGTAAACATTGCTAATGTTTTGAAATATACCATTCACTTCACAATCTATACAGTCCATATATGGAAACCAGGATGCAAAAAACAGGCCGTTTTGAATTTGTTTACATATATTCACCTATTCAGCCTACAGCAGGATAGTCCCACCAATTCAGACTGCGTTTTGAATACAGGGCAACACATCAGAACAGAGGTCATTTACACATATGAGGCTTAAAGGCACAGTAACAAGAACAGCCTGTTCAATTCTAAGGGATAAAAAGAGGTTGGCCACTTAAATGAAATTTGACCCTTTTGGGAACATAAAACCGTACAAACATCATAAATGGACCTCAGAAATGAAGGTCAAAAATGAAGTACTATAAATGTTTGGAACTGTGTTAATAAGTGTTTCCTTTTAAGGGAAATACATCCAGATGGACTGCCTCATTCCTACACCCTTATACTTCTCTTCCGACTCCTCCCTGACACCCCCAAGGATGCATTTGATCTGTGGCAGATTTCAGATAAGAATGACAACCCTGAGGTTGGACTGACGCTGAACCGTAAGATCCATTTTCTTCACACTTCTTTATTACTTTATGCATGTGTGGAGTTGGCCTATCCTGTCAGCTGCGTTTCTAAAAGTCCAAAAGCTTCCAGTTCACCTTCTTTTCATAAATAATAGCATTTATGAACTCAGACCATGTTAATGGATTAGAGTGTTTACAGTGGGATTGGTCTCTCACAGGAATTCCTTAGAAATGTATTCCCAAATTGAGAGCATGCACATTCCTATCTTGAATTGGCAGGCTTGTGAAGTAATGTTATCATTGTATTTTATACACTTTCTCTTGTGTTATGTCTGTAAAGTCTGCTGAAGCTGGCTCATGTCATACTTTTTCCTTTTGTTGTTCAGCTTCCAGCAGGACCATCACATTCTACAACAAAGACACTAGAGGCGAACTCCAGAGGGTTACCTTTGATAACGACCAAGTCAAGAGGATCTTTCACGGAAGCTTCCACAAGGTAGACCTATTTTAAATATATCATACAAAGGACTGCTTAACAGTGTTTCACACAAGGTTTGAAAACATGATGTGACAGGTACTAAAGCCAAACATGCCAAAGGTTGTTGTAAATATGTCAGTAACATGAAGATAATGTGATAAGTTTAGACACATAGTAATTATCCTGAGCCATTGTGTTCCCCAGAATGTAGTGGGAATCAAATCTAGGTGTTTTCTTTACTCTTGAACGACGCCTATAGCCATCAATCTGAGTTTACTTTTGTTTTATGAAGAGTTTAAGCAGAGTTGTCTTTGTGTAATCATATGTCAGACTGCAATTAGTCATCGAGGATTATGTCTTACTTCCAAAATATTTGGCAAGTCTTGGAGTTTTGTTTAATGTGAAGCTGTTACGTTTGCTTGTACACTACTGTGCAAGAATTTGGAATCATTTGTCATAAAAATTAATGCCATTATTTTATTCAATATTCGCTACACAGTGTAAACTGATGTATTGTAAGCTAGATGCCAAAAGTTTTTGGAAACATCAAGAAGCTCTTAAATGATAATCATTTCATTCATACAATATTCTGTAATAATTTATTTATGATTTTTTTGGCCAAGTTATCTGCCTTGAGATTTGAAGAGCACGTTTTAAGATCCACGGCACTCTAGATGTTAATTTTATTGTAACTTCATTCTCAAAGTTTTAAGGGGCCCATGTCATGGTAAAACAAGAGTTTGATGTAGTATGTTAACACTGTGAATGTTTTAGAATGTACTGTTCACTCCTCAGTCCATGCAGTCCATTTTATGCAATCTAAGCCACAAAAATAGCCTGTTTTGAATTCACTGTTTCTTTAATGTCATGAAAAACAACAAATTTACACATATCCGCCTATTCTGCCACAACAGTTTAACCCTGACCATTCTCTCTGAAGTTATAAGGAGTGTTTTGGCCTAGACTGATTTTTGAATAAGGAGCAATGCCAGTCAGCCAATCAGAACAGATCTTTGCAGATTTGCATATATCAGTCTTAAAGACACAACAACAAAAACAACCCGTTTAATTCTGTGTGCGATAAAGAGTGATAAAGAAAGGTTGGAAAATGGTCACGTGAACATTATCATAACTGTTTTTGGTACATAAACCCACATGAATATTATTAATGGAAAAAATACAAGAAAATTGTAGAATATGGGCTCTTTAAGACTTTAATACTTTGGAGTCATCTACAGGTTCATCATTCATCTAAAATGTCTTCAATTTTTTACAACTTCCTACAAATTAGGTGAAATCTACAAAGTAATGAAGTAGTAGCATTATAACCAAATCATTTTATACATGCACCTGCAACAAAACTATTTTTATACTAATGACAGTAGGGATTTCAGACTTTTGAATGGTAGTGTAATTGATTCAGTTTTTGGCAAGCTGTATTAGGATACAGGAATAATTTGTTGAGATTTCTTTTCCAATTAAGTTGCAGCAATATTTGGGTCTGACTTTTAATTTCACTATTTTCCTCATGCTGAGATGTTTAACTACCTCATATTTTATGTCCTAAAAGGGTCTCACAGGTACTAAACTGAAATACGTAGCCTTTTATAAAGTAGAATCACCATATCCCTCCTACAGAGTTTCACTGGCATCATTTGTATCAGAATCATCATTTAACTCTGTTGGAGTAACTTGTAGAAAGTCATTTTTATATTGATGTTGTTATTCGTGTGTGTAGGGGTAAATTAAATTCTTGGGTGCCGAACTTACTAATTTATGCGCAGTGTATTGCCTAATAAATTTGGAAGGTATTAAACTAGGGTTTTCAGTTTGCGGTGACTTATTGCAGTCTGGATTGTGACTTAGCTCTGGGTCATCAGGCTGTGGCCCAGTACGGGAGTTGACAGTGCATGAAATCAGAGGCCTTTGGTTTGCTACTGTGGTCTACTGTGTATTCAGTGACTTCCTCTGCTCTCACCGCAGGCTTTGCAGGGGACTGCAGCACTAAGAAGCCTTCTTGAGAGATGCCTGTATTTAGTTGACCAACGTGGTCAAAAGATTATATATTGGTTAAACAGCATTGAAACCACCTGGCTGCGGATGAACCATAATATATGTGTAAATTTTAAGAATATTTTTTTCTTCTTTATCACTACATGTAGAGTCCAGACCATGTAGTCCCAGGTACCATAAACCTTCACTGAATTATCCTGTGGGGGCTTGTTTCTGTAATGTTATGGCACTGCATGCTCAAGTCTGATTTTCACCATGACTCTGCCAAGATTAGTGAACCCTATAGGTGCACACCATAAATTACATGCAGGTTGTGTTCAAAGAGTCCAGACTGATTTACCTTGTGTTTTCCCTAGAAGGAGTAATTCAACAGTCTGACTGAAGCCATTGAAAATGATACTGACAGGAGTGTTCACACTCTCAGGGGCTTCGTCGGAAATCTACTGGGAAGTTTTTTAGGGTCCCTCTTGTTCTCGAGCCAGGAGGCTTTCCTGCCGCGCTGTAGATGTTGGCTTTGGTTTTGCTTACACCACTAATGCTGGGTTGACATTTTCCACAGGACCAGTAAAATTCTGAGCTCAGATATTATCCCCATTACCATAGAGCTGACCTGGACTGCTGGTTTTGTTTCCCTCTTCAATTGTGGAGTTTCAGTAGTTGGCTGCCCTGTTCAGTATGTTTTCCCAGAGAGTCTTACAAATGCTGCATTATTATCTGCAGTGAGGTTTCAAGAGTTTGTTTTTCCATTCGTAGCAAACTCTGCCAGTATTCACACCCTTTTCAATGCAGCTTTTAAAGGCCCTCTTTGATTGACCCAGCCCAATACCTCATAACCTCATAGCACAGCACATTTCTTTAACTTCACTGTATTCTGTTCAGTGCCCTTTTATAAATCCCTCTGTTTATATGAAGTTAACAGTGGGCTGGATGACTCATGAAACCGCTTAAACAAACAAAGGAAATACTAGTGAATAAAATGCTTTTCTGCCAACATGTCAAGACCGTCCACATTTGAAACCAATAAGATGACATTACACAACAAAAAGTCAGTCCAAAGCAGGATAATCTGTAGATGCCGGGTGTATTTGTCATCTCACATTTGCTTTTCGTCTTGTTATCAAGAAAAGACGTTTGCCTGAGACCTTATACTTTGTTGGCCGTGAACTCCTTTCCTGGTCGAACCCTGAGGGAGGGTAGACCTGATGATTGGTGGTGGCAGAGGGAATTTTGATTCAATTTTCATCAATGCTCAAGTTAGAAAATGGAGGGAGAAAGTAGATAGCCTTGCCAGCAAGCATGAAATGGAGGCAGATAGGCATTATGAAACCCTGATAGAAAAGTCAGGGAGAAAGAATACAGTCAAAATGAAACCACATGTTAGTTGCATGCAGACATAGTAGCCAGAGTGGGACACTGTAGACACACTAGACATAGCAGGCAGAGCAGGAACGTGTAAGAAAGTGTGACAGCATAGAACAAAGCATTGTAAATTTGGCCTTGACCATACAAAAGCCATACCTGAAAGTCCTTGTCTTAAGTTTCATTAAGTACGTCTGGAATAGCTTGCCTTATGGCTTACAGGAACAGACCATGTACAATACACATTTTAAAGGTCTATTCACACCAAGTACATTTTTTTAGATGACAAAACAGATGTGTTTTTTTTAACATAGATTTTAACTTAAAAACCAAATCTGATGTTTTTGTTTTCTAACACTCGAGAACACTCTGGGAACATTTTCAAAAATGGGCATGAACAGACTAGGAGTAGAGTAGGACTATATAAAAAAGGTCTATGAACTATGTTGGACTAAAGTACTCACCATCATGCCCAGTCTTTCAGCTATGGTCCTACATTTATTTCCTTTTATCTCTACATTTTTATAGTCAGCTTGCTTCATGTTGTGCTGCAAGCAAGATGATCTGTTCTGCAGCTATTTATTTGGACTACAACAGCCGGTTGGCAACACACGGCTCCGTAGCTCCTCTTTTACTGCCCTGTTATGGCTCCTCAGCAGAATTAGATTTTTAGGTAAAAATAAAATAATCCTCCTTTGCAGTAAAATAACCCTCTGCTTATCGTTCTAACAGTTTTAACAATAAATGGTATTAAATGCTGGAGTTCATGTATAACTGCTAATTCACTCTTTAACCCTAAAGATTGGCATGCAGACTGCTGGTCACCATAGCAATGTAGACTAGCTAGTAGCTAGTAGCTAATGAAAAGGCAAAGAGAAAGATTGAAGATGAACATTGATAATTTGGAGATGTATTGACTTATTTGCATTCATAAGCACTCCTGCTGGTTTCCTGATATGTTTAATCTGCAACAAGAAACTGTCAAACACTAAAAAGTTTAAGGTGGATTTTGAAAATTCAAACAAGAAGCTGGCTAGTGAGAAGCTGACTTAAGCCTCGTTTAAAAAAAAACAACAAACATTGAGAGACATTTCACAAGAAACCATTCCACTTTTGAGGAGAAGTTTCCTTCCGGAGATGCGAGAAAAGCAGCTATAGCTGAGCTAAAGCTTAAAGCAGAGCAATGTAAGTCTGCATTTTTGTTTATATTAAATTTGTTAACACATCAGGACATACTGAGACATATTTACAGCCAAGATGGTAAAATGGACAGAAAATATTGTGGCTCCCAAGGTGGTTTGATTTTTACTGAAAGGACAAAATGGCTCTTCTTAACATTTTGGTTGCCGACCCCTGGACTACAACAATGACAACTGTGCTCTGATTGCACAGCCTGATTTGAACACATCTGGCTCCAATGAAAATTTTTGCTCAGCATTGCAGTCTGTCTGTTTTGGACTTTATGTGAAAGACGGCGTTAATATGCATGTGTTTATTTTCAAAACTTTTTTTTAGTTGTAAAAATCAAACTTGGTGTGAATAAGCCTTAACAGGTGTTATATGTCACATTTGTCTAGATAATACCTAATTACACCTTTATATACTAATTTTATTTGTGAGATGATATCGACCTTTTTATCAGCTCTTGGTATGTCATTAAACTGGCTGTTTTCAGAGGCCACTAAGTGCATCATGATTTCTGTATCCAAACCAGAACCTCAGACCCTTCCCCCAGTGGGCAGTTAAATACTGGGTTTGCTCGCCAAAGATGTTGACCGTAATGTAGCATGTGTTTGCCAAGACGTATGACCCAGCTTGCGGGTTGGTGTCATTTGATGCAAAGTACAAATTTCAGCTGAGTAACTGCTTGCCAGGCTTTTTAAATGAGAAAATGCAATGGCGCAAGAAAGCTGGGAAACAAGGGTACCTTTGATGGCCAGCCACAGAATAACAAAATGACATAATATCAAGATGTGGTCGTGCTGCTATGGACAGTAAATGTCTAAAGAAAAAATAACTACACTTCAGGAACAGCGTGGAAAAAGGCATCTGGAAGGTTGGGCCACATGCAGAGCCTCATGCATAGTACATGCAAATGGAAAAACAGCCATTGAAGGTTTTAAAGTATAATTAATGCTGCTGACAGAGTTTCCCATGTGTTTTCTACCACCAGTGCAGTGTTACATGTAACAACAATAATCTATAATTAACATAATTACAAGGAAGAAATACTGTTATTGGCAGGATTTTTTTAAAGTTTACATATTTCTAAGTATAGATGACTGGCAATGTAAGTCAGCAAGTAAGTCATCGAGTTCTTTATAAAGAGTTTGAGGCCGTTGTGGGTTTAGACATTTTGTTGGCATGTAATCCTTGACTACAATGGCTGTGTTAGTACATAAATGGGTTCCAGATGTCAAAGGAAAATATGTATTTGTAATTTGATTAATTTTCAGTGATGGCATCAGTTTCTGACATAGAAGAAAAGTCGATTTGTGTCTAAATGCCATTGTTTAGTTAACCACAAGGAATATTCATTTAGAACCTGCACAAATTTATACCTAATGGCTGTATTACCAAGTGCATATTCACTAATGCTATCCTACTTTGCAGCTTCACATCTCCATTTCACCGAAAAATGTCAAGCTGAACATCGACTGCCAAGAAGTAGCAGAGAAAGAGATCAAAGAGGCCAACAACATCACCACCGATGGCTATGAAGTGCTTGGTAAAATGGCAAAGTTTGGAAGGAGGCAGTCAGCTACAGTAAGTGCAAGTGACACATCACACTCTCAAAAATAAAGGTGCTGAAAGACGGTTCTTTGGAGCGATGCCATGTTTGGTTCCCTAAAGAACCTTTAATGGATGGTTCTTTTCCATAAATTCTACACAATTCAATCAGTGAGGTGTACACAAAGGCATTTAGAGTGGTTTGATGTGAAATGTTCCATTCTAGAGAAATCTACCGGATTTCTTACAGTGGTAGTGATGAGAACTAGGGATCTTGATATCTACAGTATGAACATATCCATTTTATTTACTATCTCAATGACCAGTGAACCTACACGTGTCTTCTGAGTTTTATATGTAATGCTGACAATGGTAAAATAGTGATAATGTCCAGGAATGTCTTTTGAATGAGTTTAAAAATATGTTGTAGGAAAAACTTTATCCCTGAACTGTTGTAAAACAATGTCTCCGGCATCAGGCAACGTATTCAGAACCATTTCATATTTAAAAAAAAAAACAAAAAAACAAAAAAAAACGAGGCAACTTCTTGTGTCTGGTTTCTATCACTACCACTGTGAACAATTCTGATTCTGTGAGTTTCTCTAGAACGGAGTATTTCACATCAAAGCACTCTGAAAGACTGTGTTTATATCTTAACCACTTAATTCAGGGGAATTCTCCTTTAAAGAATGTCCACATAAAGTAAACATTCTTTGCCAATTAAAGTTTTTTCCTAGAACCATATATCCAAGACAAGAACTTTTGAGGACCTTTAATATGTATAAAGTGTCATCCATAATACATTTGTTTTTGCAATTATTGAACTTTTTTTGGCCATGCCACCCCATTTTAGGTAAGCATAAGATAGGAAATTGGCTAGGCTGTTTTAATTTTTTAGATACTTGTAGCATGGACTGAACACACATACCAGAGCTGTGAATGTGCCTTGGTTTCCAGTCTTGTCACTTGCTTTTGGCTTCTGCCTTTGCAGTGAGTAAGCATAAACAAACCTGCAGACTTGCTGAACAACTATGAAAGAATGATACACAATTCGGATGCTTAAAACAAGTGTTTTTCCCCAGGTATGTCTCCAAATCAGAACTATAGGCCCATTCTCCTGCAATTTTTTACCATTTAGGCTAGACAATGCCTCACGAATGGATGCTGATGGTTGAGCTGCTCCATTCTCATTTATGTTCTTTTCCAGCTCGCTGTGGGTGCTGTGCATGTGGGCATGTTTTTTTCGATCCTAAATCCTGGGGCTCAATGGAAGCCATCTGTAACATCCGTTTCTGTTCCCCCTTTTCTCTCTTGCAGTTCCAGCTCCAGATGTTTGATATTGTCTGCAGCTTGGGCTGGACAAGTCGAGACAAATGCTGTGACCTGCCAGCAACGGTAAGAGGATATTCAGTATAGGCTGACCACGAAGAGGGTTCTCTTTCCTGTATCTTATTTTAGGCTCCTTTTGTTTTTGTTTGCATATGGCTGAACGTTATTATATTCTCTAATAGCTCTTATACTGTAGGCTGAATCAGTCAACTTCTATCAAACTCGACGGGTTTCTTTTTTTTAGGAACATAAAGCTTTAATCACATTTCGTGCAAACACTATAAACCGCTGCAGATGTGCAGATTCAAGTTGTCAGTAAAGTTATTTGGGTGGAGAGGCAGAGAAATGAGGCGTAGCAACTTAAATGAAATGCTTCTGTACTGTTGCCACTGTTCATACGTCAACCGCAGCTATATGGAAAACTAGTGCTGGACTCTGTCTCACCATTTTCTGGTGTATTATGCATCTTTTCGTATATTTTTCAGTTCTGCTCTGTGGAATACTGTACGTTTTGATCTATTGCCAGACTGCATGATGTAGGCCACCTGTTTCTCAAAGACATTCTGGCTGCAAGATTTTCATGTGTTTTTATCAGTGTAATGTGGTTTATATGACCTATAGGTCCAAGTCACTACATTGCCATCCTTAAAAGCAAAGCATGTTTCATATTCTTAAAGAATGATGTGGGCCGATATGAACTTGTAGGAATGTTGACGGAATTGTGATGGTTTTGAAAAGGATCACTGCAGGGCCATTTCAAAAAGCTTGACTAATTGTGATTTACGGCATGACAACAAGATTTCAGCCTGGTCATCTGGAGACTTGTTTCTATAAACAATCGTGTTGCCTGAACTTTCTTGAAAATGTCAACATCTGTTGTATGAACAGCTCAGAAGCTGCTTGTATGGCGATGAATCAACAAATTTTAAGGCACTATGGTTACTGACTGTGAAGCTTATGTTCATGCAGTTACTTTCAGTGCAAACAATTGCTTTAATAATACAGGCTAAGATATTTCCATTTCTGTTACGCTAAAGGGCAGGTTAAAAGCTTTAATTTCCCAATTTGTGTGGTCAGTTATGTTTTTCCTCTCATTACTGGTGCCTTGACCCATAGGCAGTGGTGAGCCATTTCTATTGGAGCTAGTCCTTCAATTCAGGCCATAAATATCAAAACTCAGTCAAAACATGAGGGAGGAACCCACCACTACAGTAATGCTAATTTCTGCTAGCATCCCTAAGGGATTCTAGTAGTTACTTAGTGATTCGCATGAACATTTTTGGCTATTCTAGATTAAACACAGACATTTTAAGCTTTTCATGTTTTACTTGAAGCTTGTGAGAGATATATTAGATTGTATTTTACTTGTAGCAGTTTCACTATGACTCTTTCAGTAGAGAGGTCTGGTATAGAGTGGCAGTGACTGTTTTCCATTTCTGTCAACCCACTGATTAAGTTGCTGCTCATATTCACAGTCAGTGACCTATCTAGGAGTTCCAGAGGGCCTACAGCAACATTTTATCCAACAAAATTTGTCCCTCTTATTGGAGATCCGAACATGATTAGTCCTCTGTCATTTCGTAATTATGGTGATGATGTGCTTAGCTATGTCTTCCTAGATACCACTGAGAAAAACAATTCCTGATTGGCCAAATTTCCACTGGCTGTTTCAAGAATTTAACCCTTTTCCATCCAAAACTTAACAATGAAGCAAGAGTAGTACTGTAATACTTGCAGAGCTTAAAAACAAGCGTCCTCCTATTGATTATAAGGAACTAAAAATTACACCCATGTTTTTCATTCCCAGAACTCGTTAGATCTTCCCTGAAGGCTTAGAAGGCCCTGAGGAATCCCCTATGCCCATAGGCCTTATGACCCTGTGTTACCCAGTGGGGCCTGTAGAGCTTTAGTCTATGAGGTCCCTATTTGAGCCCACTGTACTGTAGCACTGTATTGTGTACAGTTGACTTTTACCCCTCAATTTTCTTTTTTCTCTTTAAACATTGCTTAAAGTACAAGTGTCAGCAAATGTCTTTTCTTTTCTTTGCAGAGAGACGAGGCCAAATGTCCAGCCCTTCCCCACTCCTGCACATGTGCTCAGGATAGCATAGGCCCTCCAGGGCCTGCTGGTCCTCCGGTAAACCCATTAGATTCTCATCGCCTTCTCTCAGTCTCTTAAGTCATTATGCTAGCACTGCAAATCTCGCCTCTGATGATGAAGACAGAGAGGTGTAGCGTTTCAGGGATGGAGGGGCATTTCCCCTCCCTGTACTGTAATTGCTGCTCTGCTCTTTGCATTAAGTCCAGGGCTATGAAAGAGGGGACACCTCTTTATTATTATGCTTGGACACAAGTCAATGTGTTGGTGATGTTCTTAAGCATGCATCACAGCGTGGGCTAGTGGCTAGCAGCTTAGGGATGTATCAGGAGATGTGCTGTAGGAGCCAAAGGGAAGAAAACTGCAAAAGAGGCTTTGAATATGTGAACAGAATTCTAACCCCCAAAAGAGGCCTCCTGACAGTATGGTTTAGTGCTGGAATCCTCTGCTGTTGAGTCTTTAAGTCTGAATGTGCTGTTTTTTTAGGGCAACCCTGGTACGAAAGGCCCTCGCGGTGATAGAGGAGAAACAGGCTCCTCGGTAAGCTCAGCCACTGTACTTTCGTGACCTTATCACTGATCTTAAACTAAATAAACAATAAATATCTACTTCCTCAATTCTTTAACCAACTCCATCCTCTTTAATTCCTGTAGGTTGTTTAAACATCACCACCTGCACTCAATCTTATTGTGCCCCGTAGGCGCCCTCAAAGAGATGATTAATACTGTGAGTGCATGCTCTCTGACTACATCTCTTTTCTCAATCCAGGGTCCAATGGGTCCACGTGGAGAGCAAGGTCCCGCAGGCCCAATGGGGACCACCAGGTCCGCAAGGCCCCAACGGACTCTCTCTTCCAGGAGAACCAGTGAGTTAAGCACACACAATTCTGCTGACCGTCTGTTCACACTGTGCCAGTCCTCTTTCGTGAACTTTTCCACTAGTCTCCGATTGTCTTTATTAGCATATTTCATTACTCTCTCAGGAAGAGTTTGCATGCTGAGAGCTGGTTGAAAATATGAGCCTAGCTGCACTGTAACGCTTGGGCCTGATTTATGACCAAAATCTCAAAACTACAGACACATTTATTTTAGCTAAGACATTGCTCACTCGCTCCTTCTCTTCATCATTTTCTTAGAACTGAGGAGAGTGTTTTAGTTTTACTGGAGCAGATTTGTGGCTTCAGTGTAAATATTCATGTTTCTGTCATTTTTAGGGACGACCTGGACCAAAGGGAGATCCTGGTGACCCAGGACTACCTGGCCAGAGAGTAAGTGCTTCTTTCTCTTCAGCTTATTTTAATTGTTGATCTTGCCCAAGAAATACAAAGATTTGCAGCAAACTGTACTGGATTCTGGAGATCTTCCACATGGCATAATTTTCACAGCTTAAGCACTGAAGGCAGTATTATTATCTTCTATTTACCAGACAAACAGTTGATGCAACAGGTCATGATTTTGAGTTATTAGGACAACACAGCTTTGTAGAAAGTTGATAATTTACTGTTCATACTGTTTTAATAACGCAAACAACTGGATTATATCTGTACTTGCACACGTAGTAAGTCTGAAGTCTGGAAATGGTTTTGGAAATGCTTTACACCTCTTTGAGTAAAGAGAAAAAGTGGTGGACAGGGCCCACACTTCATTTTATTCTCTTTGAGATCCAAAAGAAATAAGGTAGAGTAAGTTGAATAGAAAGTCTATCATTTGTTGCCATTTTTGGTACATAACAGTTGATCTTTGCAAATGTTAGAAAAGTAAGACATTTGTTTTACTGTTAGCTTCAGTATTAGAGCATCTATCATTAGGTATATGACTTCAGATGATAAAACTAGGGATGCATTGAAATAGTGGGCTGATGTCGATGTCTGATATTTTGCATATACATACCTGCTGTTGCTGATACATTAACATTTACAATGTAGAAATCAAGACTGGATCCACCTGGATTAGCAACCATTGTTTAAAGTTTGAAAAGTTAGGCAGCATAAAATAGATGACAACAATTGTACTATTCAGCACAACTAACTTTCAACATAATTTTTTGTTTGTGTTCTTTTCCAGGGCCCTATTGGTGCTCCTGGTCCTCTTGGTCCTGTTGGACCAGCTGGAGCAAGGGTAAGACCAGCTTTTCAGTGCAGCTGAAGTATTTTGTTGCTCAACATATAAACCCACATTCTTTATTTTTGAGTGTCTTATTTTAGAGTATGTCTGCAATGTTATGTTTCTTTTACTCAAGTTATATGATTGTGAAAGGTTGTCCTTTGGGATATTTTTAAACATTCCCTCTGAACAGACAGTCTTTTATTAGAGTTGTTATCATGCATATATAGCACAGTTTGCATTGGTTTGTGTTACCTATACAGGGGCAACCAGGACCAGAAGGCCCGTCTGGACCTAGAGGCCCACCGGGACAGATGGTGTGTAATGGGAATACGATGTTTTTCTATTCAGTTTCTATTGAAATAAAGCTTTAATTTCTTAAGCATGTAAAACCATTGTAACCTGCCCCAGGATATTGCCCTTTAACCTACAGTAAAAGGCAGGTTTTTATTCTAAAATTGAGCATGCATCTCATTTTCTGTCGTGCAGTTTCCCCTTGACTCCAGTTAATGGCCCCACAGTGCTTTTGGGCATTATGCCAAAACTCTGTTCACATATATTTTCTTGTATGTCTGTCTTTATCTAGGGGTCCTCCTCCCTCAAAGCTTGAATTATAGATCTGCAGATTGCATTTTGCATAAATCTCTCCTTGCTCTCAAATCCAATAAAACAACTAAAGCACCTTTGCATGTGATGGGTGATGCAATGTCTATGAATGTAGTAGCATTAATATGATAGTTTGTATCTCTTTAGGGAACCCCAGGAACTCCCGGAATGCCTGGAATCACTGGGAAAGCTGGGAAAGCTGGGGAACCTGGACTTCCAGTATGTATATATTTAAGTAGAACATGTAAAATGTGACCTTCTCTGTAAGTAACATAAAAAGATGATTAACTACGAAGTAAGTAAAATTATTGTGTTTATGTATTTACTTCATGTACTGTACTCATGTACACTATGTCAATTACAGGGACCTGCTGGCATTAAAGGAGAAAAGGGTGAAAGGGTATGTGTCACTGTCATTTACATTAATACAAAGCCAGTACCTGAGATTATGATGCATTGACATTAACACAAAACAAGTACTTGAGATGAATTTTTATTAATTTGCCTTGTCTCTTTTCTCTAGGGAGATACTTCCTCTCAGAATATGATGAGATCTATCGCAAGACAAGTCTGTGAACAAATAGTTAACAGTGAGTTAACATATTCTTTGAAAACTTTTATTTTGGCCAGTTATTGTTGGGACTGGTTATGTTACAGGTTTTTCATATGAATATAAAAACATTGTGTAGTAGCTTTCCAACATAATTGGGTATATTTTCTTTGCCCTCAGGACAAATGAGCAGAATCGATATGATGCTGAACCAGATCCCCAGTGGATACCGCAACAACAACCCTGGACCTGCTGGGCCTCCAGGACCACCTGGAAAGCAGGGACCTCGTGGAGAACTGGGCCAGACTGGACGCAATGGATTCCCTGGAAACCCTGGTTTACCAGGGCCTCCAGGAGAAAGAGGTAAAAACTGTACTGCAACAATGTTAGGGTTTTATTACCATTCCCTAATACCTGTCTCTGCATAGCTCTGTGAAGCACGCAGATTGATGGATGTGTCTCCTATGATGACATTCTCTATGGTCTGGATTCTTTAGATATTCAGTCAGTACAGTGTAGTAAAGAGAACAGTTTATGGTGAGAGTTAACACCTCTTGCTAAAATTGAGGACTGGGCAAAAGGAAGGGCTATTAAGTTACAGTGTACTTACTATGCAAAGCACATATCAATGTCTTGGGATTTTATAGGTGTGAAAAGTAATTTATTGCTGTCCAGTTTTGTACAAGTAACTGCAATTTTGAGCACCTGTAGACACTGTGGAATTTGGGCATTGATTGATTTATAGTTCTATGAATCATTGTGTGCATGTAGTGTAGAAGGAAAGGAAAAAGCTTTGTCCAATGAAAACTGAATGTGGAACTATACCATATGGTGCCTATTAAGAGATTGTCTCTCCTCTGCATAATACCCACTTTGGATCATGTTTGTTGGTTGATAATAGCACTAGAATTGCAACACACGTAAATGGTCCAATAACTGTTCTAGAGAGAAATTTATTCCAAGCTGCTATTTGCACTGAAATCCATTGAAAGCTAGAACTGCATCCGTTTAATATCATCCACATGTTCCTTTCTTGAAATATTTGTAGTAGGTGATTTTGTGGGCCATGTGTTACAGCAGTTATGCTATTTTTCTGATTGCCATATGTAATCATAAGAGTCATAATGCATCTGCATTTCTTTCTAGTAATGCATTGTTTGAAAAAATAATTGGAATAAATCTCACTGTGCGATTGTTTGGACAGAATTCTTGACTTTTTACACTCATCTCTGATTTGTTGATGTGCCTCCTTAACATCCTCCAATGTTACAGGGTTGCCAGGAGAGAAGGGAGAGAGAGGAACTCCAGGCGTTGACTCTCGGGGACAGAGAGGATTACCCGGACCACCTGGTGCGTATTTGGCAACCAAACTGCAACATCTCAACCCATCCAAGCCAGTCCTGCAGCTGACTGTTTGGACAAGCATTGTTTTGCACTACATTCATTGCATCCTCACACAAAGACAGGCAAGACCAAGTCAAAATCCTGTGCCTAAACGGGACCATAGACAACAATTTTCCTTGCTTTCTTGGAATAAAAGCCATGCAGACACTTTAAAATGTACCGCTTAGTCTGCGGTCTGTATATGCAAAAATGACCTGTTTTGAACCCCTCATGGTTGTGATGATACATAGCCATCCAAAGGATCTAGATTGACTGATGTTTTTGAAATATTCTTGGGGATTTTGGTTTGAACTTAACAGTTTGTTCCCCACATTTCGGCCTGGATTAGCTTTTGAACGATGCACAATACGTGGCAGCTAATCAGAACAGATGTCATTTACATATATCAGTCTTAAAAGCATAATAACAAAAACAGCCTGTCTACTTCTGAAGAATGAAGGTAGGTTAAAAATGGGTGATTTGGTACAGAAAACCACATAAAAGTTATGTCAGGAAATAGAAGAAAAATGTAGAATATAGCCCATTTGATGACAGAACTTAAGCAGAAAACTGATATTTGAGACTTGAAAAATATCTAATCCCTCAAATGACTAAGTGCTGCCAGCAGCTCCAAAGTTCTATTACAAACTCCTATGAGAAATTTGCCTTGTCGTCCTTGTACTTACTGAACAATAAGCCTTAGGATTTAATATAACTTGGATTTCAAGGGTTCAAGGCTTTACATTTCAATTTGTCACTTAACATTAACAATGAACAATAACAATTATTTGAACAAAAATATTTGCTTCTAGATTGATGATTTGATGTGCTCAAAGTAGGCTAATCGGACCTGAAACTGCACAAAGACACTGTGCTATTACTGATTGGTTTGAGCTGAACGCGTCATTCACATAGAATTGCAGCACAGATGTACTCTGGAGTGAAAATTGTTTTTGAAACCCAGGGCAAGGCCGCATTCGTGTTTTCCTTTCAATGCTTAATGTAGCTCTCTAGCTGCTCGTTGGCTTCTATTTTCTCTTTTCTCAGCATCAATGGCCATCACTGTACATTGTGGCCCTGTAATGACCCTCTCTAGGGAGCTGAGAATGTCTACTTATTACAGCAGAGACTAAGTCAGGACAGGGGGTTTGCCATAGGGCTGATATCTTACCTAGATCTTGTGAACCTCAACTTGAGCAGCTGTTCTTCATAAATTCTTTCTTTGTGTAGATGAAGAATTCCCAGCAAAACACTTTCTTTTTGAAATTTATGTCGGCCCTGCCTGAGTGGTTCATACAGATGTTTGCACACATCTCTGGAGTGAGCTGTATTATTAATCAGCAGCCTGGCCTCTGGACACACAGGATGAGCTTGAAATAAATCTGTTATTTAAACTCAAGGAGTTTCCATTATTCCAACACGGTGGTTTCCATGTTCATCCATTACTAGAAGGACTGTGTTTTAGTGAACGCAGTACTGCATTGTACGAATGTGTAGTACTTTCAAACTGTACTTTCTCAGCATCGTGCATTGTTATTTTCCAAAATAGAATTCTGTAATCAGAAGATATTGATGCATCCATACTTGTTAGAAAGAACAAGGACTAAAAATTACAGATTAGCTCCACAGTACGGCAATCTGTAAAGCAACCACAGCTCTGTATCTGGTGAACCACTAAAGCTGTTCTCCCTTGAACAAACCCAGCCAAGACCTCACTGTGAATGAAGTGAGACAAAGATTGTATAAGTACAGTAGGAGGAAAGCTCATGATGACTCAACTTTTGTAGTGGGGGGAGTCAGGCTGTTGCAGAACGATTTCTCTCTGGGGGCCTCATTGACAACACATGTGCTGACTGCAGAGTGTGTGAGACTGAGAGCAAGGGGGTGAACTCATTCCAAACTTGGTTTATGCTGTCTAGACAGAAAGGGGCAGGGGGAGCTCCACAGAGTTTTTCCCCTACTCCCTTTTAATTGAGCAGTCAAAATATTTAAATTACAGTGCTAGAAACCAGTTTTCCCCTTCCACTTCCAGTTGAGATTTAAGAGTGATGTCAGTGGATCTCTGATGGTTTTTCACTTCTCTTTCTTTTTTCTAGGCCCACCAGGTCTGTCCCAGACTGGCCCCCCTGGTCCTGCAGGCTCAGCTGGGCCCCGTGGCCCACCAGGACGTCAGGGTACTCCAGGAGTCAGAGGTCCACCTGGGCCTCCTGGTTACTGTGATTCCTCTCAGTGTGTAGGCATTCCTTACAATGGATACCCAGGTGAGAACATCAGTGATAGGGAGTTTAGCTGGGTGCTTTGAGTAAATGAGTATATCACTGATGCCATATCAAAACCTCTTGACTCCACTTTTTCCCTCTAATTTTTTAGATCATTTGAAAACACTTGCTGGCCTTTAAACTGTGTGAACTCAGCAGATGAATAGAAATTGTGCGTTAATGTCTGCAAAAAATGCCAGATTTAAATGTATTCCCTGTAGAGGGATGTGTTAACTTACTTTCACTTAGAAAATCAACGAAACGTGTAATTTGACTGAGGGTGTTCAAACATGCAACTGTACATAAACATAAATTAAAGTTCCCTTATCGTTTTGAACATAAGATGTTTTGATATGACAGCAGTGATATTATAGTTTCAAGATGTTGAAAAATGACACGTTACAGTACAGTGACTATGTACTAGACCTGCATGTATGTACTTGACTTCACACATGAAGGACAATAATGCGCTAACACCATCTTTAACCCATTTCAGGTTCTGCATAGTACACTTTCTAAGCTGCCTGTCGCCCTTAAACATTGAAATCCTGAAAACAAAAAATCCTGTGCTTGAGACATCAGCACACTTGCTATTAAGCTTTTAAGGGTAACCACCATGGATTTGATTAATGAACAATTGCTGACCAACTCTAAAACCAAATCAAACCAAAGAAAGGACTGGACTGCCACTAACACCAGCTCACCGCTACTCTATCAGGCAGGCGACAATGATGGCCTCATTCAGTGGCCTTGATGCATCTTGAACTCCAAAGCAACAAGCAGTAAGGGAGAGCTTCCTTTTGCTGAAGAAGCATGTCAAACTACTAACCATGAAGATTTCATAACTGAGTTCAACAGTGGATGAGGGTGAGGTGTTTGTAAATAAACTAATTGTGCCTTGTAAATGAGTTTCAGTTACACAGTCAACTAAAATGGGTTAACATCTGTCATCAAGCTTGTGCCTCATAATTTGCTTCTTGCTGACTGCCAACATAACCTTTATATCTTTTATTTTATTAGTATTTTCTTTTCTTTTCTTTTTTCGCTTCAATTGATGATTACAGCCTCTGCTCAGGTTAAAAATGTAGCATGTGCTTTTTGTACATGTAACCACATTCTCCGTGATTGTTTTTTTGCAAATTGCTGTGTTCAAAAACAAGGAGTCACTTCTTGCTCTTATTTTTATTGTAATTTATCTTATGCTATAATACCTCGGTGTGTTCTAAGGAAGAGCTTTTTTGCCTCTATCAGAACTAGTGGTAGTCTTGACTTGACATGACCACTTTAACCTCTGGTTTGTAGTTTTTCATCTCTTCCATATACTAAGTGGTAGATTTAGATTCATGATATACAACCACCAATGATTGTAGATGAAACGTCAAGATTTTTTTACACATAGTGAACATTAAGTTTTAGCCATTTGTCAGCGAGCATTGATTAAAAACCACACTGCTTATGTTCAATTGGCAAAATAATATTTCCAACCAGGCCGCTACCCACCTGAGCCTGAAACCTACGTAGTGCCAGTTCCTGCGGAAGCATCAGAAGATACTGTGACAGAGATACAGTCCCCCGGTTTACGAAACCAGCGTGGAAAGAGATCACTATCGACACAGGAAACTAAGAGGATATAAACATAAGTGTCTATTATTCGCATGAAGGACAACATCCGAAACTAAACGGCGTTATTGGATCAAGCTTCATGCATATGCAAAATCTTTAACAAGGTTAAGTGGAAATAAGGCTGATATTCAAACCTAATTTCCTGTTTAGAAACCTGTTTAGAAAAGAGTGTGCTCTCTCACTGTCCCCAAACATTTTTGGCTTTTTGGCTTGTAACATAACTGCCTTTTATGTTTATATGAGACTCCTGTGCAGTGCACTAACCCCAAGATGAGTATTCATGTGTAATGCGTGAAGAGTAAGATGTACGGATTGACCCAATGGAATCCTCACAGATCAATGTAAAATTTTGCTTTTAGAATAGACTCATTCCTTGCAGTGCAGTTCTTTTGTTATGCCTTCCTTCTCACCAGTGAAGGCCATTGGTTGTAATTCCATCCTCATTTCTAAAACCTTGTTAGACCTGGCTTTGGTTTCATTATCCTAAATATTTATCTGTTGTATACCAACTCACAGCTCATTTTTACCAAAGATGGAATTGCATGACTGTGTTGTATATTTAGTAAGTACATTTTAAAACCAGAATATAGTTTTTCCTTTTAAATCAATCTCAAACGCAGTTGGAATTTGCTGCAAGACTATGGTCATAGAATTGCGCCTTTATGTTTTAACTGCACATTGTGAATTCCACAGCCTTATTTTCTTATTTATTTCTGAATCAGAAGAGGCATTTTTCAATAAAACTACTGAAAATGTTTAACCTGTGTCGTTCCTCTTTTTTGACCATTTTACTGACAAAACAGTGTGTTGAGTTACTTGAATGACAGAAGGGACCTTTCTTGGAGTACAGCTTTACAATGTCAGTCGTTAAGTGAATGAAATCATTGCGTGGTTTGATGTGAAATGGTACATTACAGAGAAACTAATTCAGATTTCTTTACAGTGGTGGTGATAGGAACCTATAAAGCAAATGTATCCATTTTATTTACTATTGAAAAACCAGTGAACCTACATATCTTTTTTTATATTGAACGCTGATAATCAGTGGTAAATCTGGGAAAAAAAAAAAAATTCTTTCAGGACTATTTTGACTTACAACACCCTGCATGTATATCTCCACCATGAATAGATTAAAAAAAAGATTCAAAAATCTTATCTCAAATCTATTGTCTATGTCTGAGACATCATGCACTCGTAACCATTTTATGTAATAACTTATGTGAGGTAACTTCTAGAGGCACTAAATGCTTCAGATGTCTGGTTGTCTGGTTCCTCACGACCACTGTGAGCAATTCTGACTCAATAAGTTTCCTTAGAACAAAGTTCCCCTTTTAAAGGAAGACTGAAAGCCCTAGCAGAAATGTAGAGTCAGTGAAGTATCTCACCAGGAACAAATTCATCATTCCAAATCCTGAGGCATTGATGTCATCAGTCAGGCTTTTGAAAACCTTAAATCTATGTAAGTATTCACTTTAAAAGCATTCGCGTGAAGGATTTCTTGGATTAAGTACCAGATTGAGTTTCTTAGATGGACAAGCTGTTTCAGTATAAACAGTACCATCAATAAAATTCACAAAGACAGCATCACCCATATTTTTATGTCCCATTTTCAAAAAGTTGAAAAGGCCCAAACAGCCCTACAGGCTTAACAAGGGTGTTTTGTGCTACTGTGTGGAGTCACTGACAGCCATGAAACCAATACCATTTACTAGAGGGTTTTTAAAGATGAAAGCCATAAGTAGCCATTATCTGATATCTGATTATGTGAACACACAAGGCTTTGTACCAAAAATCTACAGATAAATGCACTTCTCTCATCCATTTTAATGTTACGTTTTCCCCTGGAACTGAAATGTTTTGATCAAAGAAATTTTGAAGAAAACTTCAGACAAAGTTCACTGAAGCTTTAAGGCCAAAGATGTGAAATGCAGCATTATGTAAGCCTCTTCTAGTGACTCTTACACTGATTTAACACATGCTAATGCTTTATAGCATTCTAGAGGCAGTATGAAGTATGTAAAGGAATGAATACATTTTAAAACTGGTGCCACAACACTTTATCTTCTTTATCTTCTTCTAGTGCTTGTAGTCTACAGCCTGTGTGAAATGTACCAGCTTGATCCCCAGTGTGCATTAATGGTCTGCAACTACACAACTTTACAGTCCTTTAGTGTCTTAGGGCCTGTTTTAAGGGGTTTTATTTGGCCTGCAGGTATTCAAATGAATTTGGTGCCAGTTTTATTTGACTTTATATGACCAGTGAAAAAACAACATTGTAAGGTGTATAATAATCATGGTGTAATATAAAAATACATAAAACGTAGAAACATCCTAACATGTCTTTTCTAGGATATCTTTATGAGCACATGCTGAATTTGGTAGTACAATGACTATTAAGAAATGCCCAAAGGGAGGAACTGTTTGATATAACAACCTCTGTGTTTATAGTCTCTGTTGAAGTTCCCCCAAATACATGTGCTCTCAATTAGTGATACCTATTTCATGTAAGCTATTTTCCGACATTTTACCATCCACAAAAGTTCAAGCTTAGAAAAATGTGCTGTCCTCAAGCTGTTACCTATGATTGATGTGCCTCTCTTTGACAAGTGTGTGCTGTTTCATCCAAGGCTGCAGAAGTGATTTGGGAATTTGGGGGCACACTTCAGTGCTTGGGAGTGGAGGAGGGCATGCTCTCCCCAGAAAGAAGATTTTGGTAAAAACACAGTGAAATATGACTTTTGAGAACAGCATGTATTGCATTAATTAACAAGCTCACCCTTAGTTTTATTTTTACTAACTTAATATAACTTAACAACGCTATCTATCTACCCAGGGGACTTAAACCCCAGTCAGTCACCATAGTGGATCTTCATAGCTTTACTCACTACACTACTTAATTGTCACATAGTGGTTATAATCCTGTTTTGGAGTCTTGTATAAATCCATACAAGAGTCCGAAAGCACATACTACACTAAACTACACAATGAAAACAATGAAATCTGGGAATAGCAAATTATTAACACTAGCTATGGCTGATGTTATGTTTGGGTATTTTTCAAAATAACCACATTATTATTTCTTAAATAGATTATCGTTTTTTAATGGTGGGATTTCCAGTGCTGTGGTGATGCGAGCAGGTCAGATTTAGTTAGGGGAAATTTTCAAGGTGGCCAGTATTGCAATGAGCTCTGTTCCCAGTAAGATGCTGAACCTTGCCTTACTGAAATGGATCTTGGAGAATGGTGCATACAATATAAAATACTATTATACACACCAACCAAGAGGGCACTTGTACTGTCTGAGAGCAAAGGGGCGGGGGCGCAAGCCCCACTCGGGTCTATCTGTGCACATGCCTGATGTTAAGAGTGAGATAATATCAACTTGCCTTGGAGCAGGTTTTAGTGCACCTTTCCAGATTTGTTTTGTGTTTGAGAAAAAGCTAAGATCCCTATCTGGTTCAGGGTCAGCTCAATCCTTTTGGGGGCCATAAGCAGGATTTTTTTGAGGGCCCCCATCTTGTAGCTGATATACTATAAAATTAGAGAATAACTAATAACAAGCTAATGACAAGCTGTCTAAATTATATACATTTATAACTGGCTAACGTGCATTGCTGATAATTGGATGTTCACTTGTGGATAACCTTCTTAACATTCTGGATCCAGGGGTCTGTCTGAGCATGCAATATTTCTTGCTTACCCAGCTGACTTTAGGCTTAGGCTTTAAGCAACTGGTGGCAGTGGTGACAGCACTGCTTTTTTACCACTATAAATACTTTAATTTCGACATATTTAGGTAGTCTGATTTAATTTTCCTTCTTTGGGGTCTCCTCGTCATGTTTTACACAAATGGCTGTTCGTTATAAATGAAGCCTGATGGTCTAAACCTGGATTAACAGAGAAAGTTGCCGTAAAACAAGTTAACTGTGGCTGTCTTTATTAGGTTTTGTGAAGCTGAACGGTAGTCAGTCTAAGTTGAACCTGCTTCATTAGACAGACTCCAGATCCACTACTGCTTGTTGTCTAACTACAAGCCAAAATGAACAGCACAACATCAACCTGCAAAAAACAAAACATACCTTTATCTTTCAGCGTATTTTCCTCATCTACTCTTTTCTTTCACTCTTTTCAGTTTCAGGTGCGTTCTTTTTGAGACGTGATTAATAAGTTGCTGTTTTCCCACACACAGGCATCTTAGACAGCATAATGGTACAGTAACAACTCAGGAGTCTGTTAGTGGGCTTCCTGGCAGACCTGGGGCATTAAGCAACTGCTTATGTCACTTATAAGGTAGAGTTGGCACTGCTCTGGGTGTTGTGTCACTATTGCAAGTACACTGGAAACAACATTTTACTTTGTTTCTAGATTTCTAGAGTTTAGGACATTGTGCTTTAAATGTATTTACACACGGCTAAAAATATGAATAAAAATTTTAACCCAGACCCTGATGACAACTTTTACAACAAGTTAGGTAGAGCTTGTGCACTGGAAGTTGAAGCCCACTGAAAAAGTAGAATAATGCACAAATCAATGTGGAATAAAATGTAACCTGGACTTTTTATGTAGATAAAAAGGTCCAAGTACAACTTGCTTTAGGTCAGTGTTTCTCAACCCTGGTCCTGGAGGCCCACTGCCCTGCATTTTTTAGTGTTTCCCTGCTCCCAACACACCTGTTCCAACTAATCAGCTCATTAACAGCTCATTGTTGAGTTAAAGTGGGTGTGTTAAACAGGAAAAGCAATAAAATGTACAGGGCCGTGGGCCTCCAGGACAAGGGTTGATTAACACTGCTTTAGGTCATCTTCATATGTTCCCATAGCAACATCATCTGTGAATTTTCACAGCACTTGGACAGATATTTCTCCAAATTCATCCTGACGATTAGTGGGGCTAGTTTTAACACAGCGTTACAAAGCCTCCTAATACTAAGCAGTTCATTTTTAAGAAGCTTTCATTCACTTATTTATTAAAAACATACTAGATGTAATACTATATAAATATTATATTAATTATAATATTTTTCTATATTAAGATTGAGTGTTCATCTGGTTCTAACTTTGAGGACTATTGTAGCAGAGTAACTATCCTGTTAGTCTGCTACAATCAACCTTGCCTATGTGGTAATTTATAACATTTGCAGCCATTCCACTTTGAGCTAAACTGAGTTGTAGGTGCTGGAAACATATACATTACAAAAGTATGCATTTTTATTTATAGAAAAATGTATAATGTTGTTAAAAAACACAAAAATATAAATGTGTTTGTGTTATGCTCTTCCTTTCAACGTAGTGGAGTGTGTTACAATGCATCATGAACTGGCTAAGGTTGCAATTATGAGCATAATGCTGTGAGACAGACATTTCGTGGCCCTGAGGATAACCACATTCAACTGATTACTGAGCCTGAACAAGCTTATGATGAAGCCTTGAAAGTTAGACGGTGTCTAAAGATATGCATGATTTGCACACACAATGCAAATTGATAAGTGGTGCCTCTAGAAGAAATCAGGCCCCAGTCACAAAATAACTGAGATGCAAACCACAAGAGCCACCAGAAACGTGAGCACGTGCTACGGATGCAGAGGTGAGCTACTTTCTAACTGAAAAGTGTCACAAATATGGAAAAAGACAGGACACATTAGGAAAGTATGTAGATCTAAATCGCCTGTGGAACCGTTCAAGCCTACATGGGGAAAAAAGAAATAGCAGGATTAAATGGAGAAAAAGCAGACAACTCACCACATTAGGCCTTATGTAAA